TCATGCAGTCGATGGACAGCGAGTTTTCCTCATCCTCATTTCTATGGTTGTGTCGGGACACGTGGCGCTGTAGGGTGGCGATGTCTGTCACATATTTCATACTGTTTGATGAAGACACACAGGTTACTTTGAAACACTGCTTCAGAAGTAATGAGATGTTTTCAAGAGGTTGATCATGGCGATACGAGAAAAGAGTGAGATTCTTACTGTGGGATTTTATCATGGACCCACTGATCTGTCAGTCCAATGACACTCCACCTGCCAATCAAGGAGTCAGTTTTCAGTTCGCAGAACACATCTACGGCCCTACTGCGACTTCTTAGAGGTAATATTAAATAGGAAGCTCACCACAGCATGTCTTTGGTGTCTTTAGACATGACCCAGGCCAGCTCAAACATCACCAACGCTGCCTGTAGACAACAGAATCAACATTCACACACTACAGCTGAGCCAACAAATATTGAGCAAATTGCATATTCACGAAGTAGTAGAACTGAGCAAATCATTGAGTATTTAATTATGGCATTTAACCATTCACAAATATTTAATGACTGAATGCTACACGTTCACATTATAGACTTCAATCAGATCCTTTTGAAATATAAAATTCACATTAGGCCGTATCCTGTTTTCAACCTAAAATTGATGCAATGATTCATAAAAGTTTATGAAAGTTCCACATAGCACTTTATTTGCTTTATTGTTATATTAGTGCTGAATGTTGTCAAAAGCCATTTCATCCAGCTTTATTAACCATCTAAAAGCCTCATGTAAATCTGTTGAAGTCACAATCACAAATGCATTAAAGCATGAACATGAGCTATAAAATCAGACCATATGAAAACATGATCATAGTTACTCACTGATGTTCCATGGAACTCATACTGCTCGTAGTCGAACAGAATCTCTCTCCTGCAAACACAACACACACACACACTAAACAAGGTACTTATCACACAAAAATGTTTCAGCATTGCACATTTTAATTTTGGAGTAATTGTTATGTTTATATTGAATGACCTTCGAGCTTCCCATTCTCGTCTGGCACGCTGTCGTTCTATTCTCCTTTCCAAAGCACCCTGAAGAAGTTAATGCAGACTTTACAAACCTTGAGCATAAAGAATCCATCTACTCATAATATGCATGATATAAATATGAAAACATGCCTCATCATATCGCCTCCGTTTCCCAGAAGGCTCTGCGCTTCCATCGCTTTCATTTCCAGAATCATCGCCGCCTCCTTCTTCGTCCTCATCATCATCACGGAAGATGTCATCATAGGACGGAACACCAAGATCGTCATCTTGCTTAATCAGGAGCTTAATCTATAGCAGTTCAAGTAAATAAATAATTTATTAATAACTGCATATTTGCAACAGGATGCATCAGAGCTAATAAAGTGCTGGACATTTGTACTTGAGTTTCATTGTAGACGTTGACCACGTCAACAGGTCGGTGTGTATCACAGATGAAGAACACAGAGTCTTCCTCAGGCTGAAGAGTCTCCAGCAGGTCCACATTTGCTCCACAGTTTATCAGGACAAAATACTGGTACTAGAAGAAACATACAGATACACAACAATTGCTTATAGATTAGACTCAAAAGCTGAGGACTATTGCCCACATAAGTCTATAGTTGATATATATAGTTGCCTAACTAAACCGCATTTATGGCAGAGCATAAAGTGGTACCTGTTCTTTATGCTCCAAAAATGCAGTCCCTAAATCCTGCCATCCTGTCACAGGAACCAGCGTATACTGCACTTGATCACAGTGAAATAGAGCCTGGATGGAAAAACATAGACAAACACTTGGAACAAAAAATGCTGAACACCTTTGAGTAAAAACTGAGTGAAATGTTTCATTTAAAAACATCTAATTTGCAATCATTAAACTGTATTGTGTAGAATTTTTTGGGCAGCCCTCTCTCTAGAGCAGGAGTTTTCAAACAAATAATGATATAAAAATAAATTAATCAAATTTTAATAAATACCACCTCTAAACGTACAGCACTACAGTGAGTTGAAAAACACATTAGTGTAATGTAATAGAAACTAAATATTTTACACATATCTATAATATACATTTCCACAGTATTAATGGGGTCTTTATGCATGCATAAAGACATACATTTCTACCTTTTAAATTTTGCACACAGGTGTCTGTGATGTGGGATCTAAAAGATTGAAAATCCCTGCGCTCGAGAAACTAAAAAATATATATTTCAGTCAACCATTAGTGTATGAATGAACGATAATATGTACTACAGTATATAAACATCTGCATATCTACACCACATATTAATACTAATGTTTTTTTACACTATTACATCATAATCTTTGCACATGCGTAGGTTGTTGTAGGTGTCCTGTACAAAGTATCTTGTGTATTGAATATCTGTGTATGTTGTAACGTTTACTGTTTGTTCAATGTTGCTGTTATTGTAGAATATGAATTTATAATGATATGACTAACCTGCAGAACCTTACAGGCACACAAGGCATCAATATCAGGAGACACGAGCAGGGCCACTCTCTGAATATATATATATATAAAAAAGAGACAAGTCTGAGAAATTCAAAGTAGTTTAAGAATATTATAAGAATATATTAACTTTAACAATACACAAGCAACAACATATAGAACAGAATAAGTATTATAAATGAACATGTACTATATAACATAAAATATTAAAACATCAACAGATAATGGTAGTATTAATAGTGCTTTTCAATACTAGCTATTTATATTAACTGTAAATATTAACAGTTTGGGGGTCATAAATGACTCCAGCAACCAAACCCAGACAAAACAGTTATTACGCACCTGATTAACGACAACATCATAAAATTCCTTTCGAATATCGGTCACAAACATGTTAAAATATAAGATTATAAAGTTTAAATATATAAAACTATCACTTTTTAGTGATAGACGTTTTACATAGACGTTTTAAAACTGTCCTTGTTTTAAACGCAGGGTTTCCGTGTTTCATCTGTGGCGCCAAATTTGCTTGTTGTGTATTTAGTAAGCCCTTTGTAGAAATAACCAATCGAATAACGACTTACAGTGACAGGCAGGCACATTAGCCAATGGTGTGCGACAGCGAGCGGCTCTTCTGTCCAATCGAAAACATCCCCTGGCAAGTCAAAACATGGAACAGAAATACGGTAATAGAAAAACGAAATTAATCTCTCTCTCTTTTTAAACACATTTGTAAAATCTGTTTATAAGTTATAATAGATTTTTATAATATAGATTTAACAAATGTTATGCATAGGGCGTGACCCAAACTTGAAAGAGAGATGTGATTGGCTAAAGTTCGGTCTGATGGTTTGTTGTTTTGTTGCGTCACGTCCTACTACTTTTAACGCACTTCCCACTAAAAGGAGAGCTGCTGTGTTTCTGTTATTGAGTTGTCATCAGTATTCTTCTCATCATCGCTGAGGTTCTGCTGTTAGGCAGATAAACAGCTAATATGGTCTGTACTCGATTTTAAGCTACCTTTAAATTTGCCTTTTTAGCATTATGTCTTTTATTGTTCTAAACTGGCTAGCTAATGCTAAGCTAAAAGCAGTTGAAAGCTGCACTGTCACTGTGGCACAAATAATAAGATGTTTGTTTATTATTAAACTGACATTTAAGATTATTTATTTAGCAGGAGATTTTTCCAAAGAGATTTACATGAAAGGAATACTATAACAAACAATTCTGACTATGGAGACAAAAAGTGCAGCAATAAAAGTTCCATTATTATTGCTTTTGTTGTAATTTGATCTTAAACCATATATATATATATATATATATATATATATATATATATATATATATATATATATATATATGTCTAAGTGTATATATATATGTTTAAGTATATAAAACCATGCATTCTTCAAGGTTTTTGTATTCAATATAATATATTTCTGTCCTCTTCCTCCATCAGTTCTCCTTCAACATGTTTGAGCCCCATGTGGGCCGGGGTTTCCAGAACCGTTTCTCCGCTCAGTACCGGTGTTATTCGGTGTCCATGCTGCCCGGGCCCAACGACCGCTCAGATGTGGATAAAGGAGGAAAGAGTATGTCATGGTCTATATAATACTGTAAAGATGTTTCCACATGGCTAGAAAAGCTTTGTGGAACAGCCAGGATTCATTTTGTAGATCTTAGGTTGTATTTCACTGAACTAATACAGATGTCATGTTGTATTTTCAGTAATTATGCCCCCGTCTGCTTTGGACCAGCTGAGTAAGTTACATGCAGCTTATTATGAAATATGAAAAACCTTCCAACTTTACTCTCTCCTGTGTATTGATTTCACATGTGGTTTGTTTTTCAGGCAGACTTAACATCACATATCCCATGCTGTTCAAACTCACCAACAAGAATTCAGACAGAATGACACACTGTGGCGTTCTGGAGTTTGTGGCAGATGAAGGCATCTGTTATCTCCCTCACTGGGTATACAATATACACCGATCGACTGTTACTGGCTCTGATTAGCTTAAGACACGTTATTATTGAGGATATCAAAATGTCCTTGTTGATCATGTTTTATTGTGTTTTCAGATGATGCAGAACTTATTGTTGGAGGAGGGCGGTTTGGTCCAGGTGGAAAGTGTCAATCTCATGGTGGCCACATACTCAAAATTCCAGCCGCAGAGTCCAGACTTCCTGGATATCACCAATCCTAAAGCTGTGTATGCTAACATAACACACACCTTTTACACTAAAATGTATTTTTAACATCATAACAGCTCATTTCTAGATCTCAATGTGCAATATTTCTTTTTTTTTTAGATTAGAGAATGCTTTGAGGAATTTCGCCTGTTTGACTACAGGCGATGTGATCGCTATCAATTATAATGAAAAGGTGATTGTCTGTTACTCAGTATAATGATTAATGTGGTAAAAACCCTGATACACTGAACCAGACATTTCTGTCTTCCAGGTCTATGAGTTGCGTGTCATGGAGACCAAACCAGACAAGGCTGTGTCCATCATTGAGTGTGATATGAATGTAGGGATGCTTATTTTATTCACAGTTTACATAATATATGAACTCCCCTAACCCTACCGACCAAACGTTTGGCGTCAGTAACACTTTGTTTCTGAAATAAATAAATAAATCAATACAGGAAGGATGCATTAAATTGATCAAAAGTGACAGTAAAGACATTTATAATGTTTCAAAAGATTTCTATTTCAAATGCTGTTCTTTTGAATTTTCTATTCATCAAAGAATCCTGAAAAAAAAATGGTTCACGGTTTCCACAAACATATTAACTGAGTTTTCAAATGATGATAAACAAATGTTTCTTGAGCCGCTAATTAGTGTGGAGTAATGAGGAGTATGTTGATATGTATAGTTATTTTAAATTGTAATAATATTTCACAAAATTGCTGTTTTAACTATTTTTGATCACATAAATGCAGCCTTGGTGAGCAGAGGAGACTTAAACATTATAAAGAATCTTTATATTTACATAATATGTATCTCTAATTACACAATATTTCGTCCATCAGGTGGACTTTGATGCTCCTCTTGGTTACAAAGAACCAGAGAGACACATGCAGCATCCTGAAGAACCAGCAGTATGTTCTGACAATTCATTTCATCACATTATAACTCAGTATTTTGATTAAAATTCACATAAATATCGTTCTTACTAATCCCGTGTTTGTCATTCTGCTGTAGGAAGAGGAAACAGATCCCAGTAACTATGACGTGGACTTTGGCTTCAGAGTAAGTCAAACAATGATTATCATTACTGCACTTTCATGCTCCTTCATATGTTATGAAATCATATGTTAAGAATTGGTGTCTTTACTTCCTGTTCCTCTCCACAGGCCTTTACAGGTTCTGGGAATCGTCTAGATGGGAAGAAGAAAGGCATTGAGCCCAGTCCAGCACCCCTCGATCCCAGTGACATCAAACGGTACCTGCCTCAGTCGGACCCAGACCACTTCACTCTCACTGCTGAACTGTACATTTTAATATTTGCTGTTTTTTAATTCATACAGAGGAATTCCTAACTACGAGTTCAAAGTCGGAAAGATCACCTTCATCAGAAATGCCAGACAACAGCCACGCAGATTTGACATTGTGAGTGAAATTACAGGGACAAAAACATTTAGGGTTTAAAGAAATCAACATTTCTGTAGTCTCAGGTTGTCACAAATTTAGTTTACCATAAATTGCCAGCATTAGATGAGGAGCAAGTGGTGTTTTTGCAATCTCTCGTCTTATTTTAATCATATATTTACTTGTCTCCAGGATGACATGGCCACTAACTTCATCGCGTTCTCTGGGGAAGGACAGTCCCTGCGCAAAAAAGGCAGAAAGCCCTGATTACACACATACAATTGACCAGGACACCTCAGAAAGTCAACTGCTGTTTGGTTATTTGTGCTGTTTTTGAACTACGATACACTCAACATGGGCAGTTATGTCATGACATGCACCTGGATTTCCATTAGGATCTTCCTCTGTACATTACAACTGTTGTTTTACAAATGATTTGACATTCTGAATCCGCTCTTTTTCATATATTAGTAAACACAAAACAGTGACCAAACACATTTATATGCACAATACTTCAAATAATTTAAATAAAGATTACCCTGCTATTCATCAGACTTGCTCTTTATTTACTCTAGGATGAGTTGTTGTCATCAAGCTTTTGTTTTCTGGTGCTGTTATTGACATTGTTTTACAAAACATGACATTATCTGTTCATATGACTATAGATTGTCTTGTTTATATTAAAGGAATGTACTGTGTTAGTACAACTTGACATGCTGTCAATTACCACAGAAAATAATTTCAACGCACTGTTGAATTGCAAGTATAGCCAAAAAGACAATAAATATTGCTAACATCAATCCAGCATGTTAAAATGGCAAGTTATTAATTTTACAGCTCAAATAACATGTTTTTCTTCTTGTATAAAAACATTAATGTGCTTTTTTTAAATGGCACTTCTATTTTTTAACCTTGTCAAACACCCCATAGACGAAATTATGAGTGTATCACGATACGTTTTAACTTGTATTGAATGCAGATCATTACTTTTAACACAACCATTAAAGATGAATTCACTAAACAAACTTTGAAAGCATTTAATATCAATAGAAATTGATGGTTTTATGACATGTTAAAAAGAAAAATGAGTATGGTTCAACTTCAGCAGTGCTTGAGCTATTGTAAGCCACAGGCAAAGCTCAAATATATCCATGTGGTTAAGAAGAAATTCTGAAAAGTTACAACTGACCCATCAAAAAGACAACAGAACGAGGCCAGTTAAAAAGTGTCTTTCATTTCATTTGACCAGTGCTGTCAATACACACAGTACTCAGTCAGAATAAAAACAGCTGTTGTCATGACCCATGATGCCACTTGAGCACGCCTTTGTCAGATCAAGCTTCACTCAGCAGCTCAGTTATCAGAGTTGTACTTCCAGATGGCAAACTCTCCGTTGTCACTGCAGGTGGCCAGCAGTCCCGTCTGCTTTGGATTCCAGGCCACGCAGTTGACGTCCTGATTGTGGGCTTTGGGCACGTGGGCCGACAGGAAGAAGATGGGCTGCTCTGGGTCGGCAGTGGGGTCTTCTCTGAACACACGGACTCCATCATCGCCGCACGCGGTGGCCAAGGCACCGGTCAGACGGCACCTTCACATTAGAAGGATTACAATAATACACACTTCTGAACTCACAATTGTTGACAAATATCATAACCATTGCATCATCTCGGGGCTTGTGCATTATTTAATGGTGACAGGGTTTCAGCAGATGGTATGAAGGTAAAATTTAACCAACTTAAAGGTGCTCTAAGCCAGTGTTTCCCAACCCTGCTCCTTGAGGCACACCAACAGTGCACATTTTGGATGTCTCCCTTTTCTGACCCATATATTTCTGGTCTTGGGGTCTCTACTAACGAGCTGATGAGTTGATTCAGGTGTGATCGATTAGGAAGAGTTGGAAAATGTGTAGTGTTGGGTTGGGAAACACTGCTCTAAGCGATGTCACACGTTTTTTTAGGCCAAAAAATTTTTTGTCACATACAGCAAACATCTCCTCACTATCCGCTGGCTGCCTGTCCCCTGAACACACTGTAAAAAAACGCGATCTCTGTAGACAGCCCAGGCTCCACAAACAGCAACAAAAACAAACTGGGCTAACCCGCTCCACGAAACATGACAAACAGTTCCAGCCAATCACTGACAAGAAGGACTTGGGGGCGGGGTTTGGGGGGTTAGTGCGCGGAGGGTCTAGCTAGCCTCCGTTTTGTTTGACAATACTTTAAACGTCAACAAGAAGTGACGTCACCCGACATCGCTTAGAGAACCTTTAAGATAATTTAAGAAATAAATTGAGGGGAACATATGCACTTCATTGTAGTTATACATCATATTTGACACATCAGGCTTTTATGGCTCATATTATATAGTGAAAATATGGAGCTCATACTCGGAGTAAAAAACACCAATTTTATTCAGAGGCTCAAACTGAGCAAAAATATGCAATTTGGTGCAGATGCTGATATTTATATGGCCAAAAAGATGAAATTCTGATGCTTGTAATGTAAATCAGTGAGATATTTATAACAGTACAGCAGATACTTGCATATAATGCAATATAAATATCAGCTTTCACTCTATATCTGCCAGTAATGTCTTAGTAAGATGATATTTAAATGCTTAGATATAGGATCAAAGCTCCGATTTTTAAAACATATAATGCAATACAATGATGATTGAGATATGAACAAATAAACCTTCCTCAAAAGCCTGATGATCATATTTGAGACACATTTGAAAATGATTTTTTTTAAACTATGCATGGATAATCAAGTAAACCTCAGTTGCTTTGGTCCAGTAAGTGTTCACCTTGAAATATTACTAACAATTACAAGTTATTATTACGGTTACTTTAAAAAAAATCATTAAAGATTTCTGAAGGTGGGTGTTTTTAAAATGACACTAAAAGGCCGTTTACTTGCTAAAAAAGTATAAAATATCGGTAACACTTTACAATAAGGTTCATTAGTTAACTACATTAGTTAACATTAACTAAGAATGAACAATACTTCTTCAGCATTTGTTAATGTTAATTTCAACATAAAATCTTGTTAACATTAGTTAAATGCACTGTGAACTAACATAAACAATGAACAGCTGGATTTGTATTAACTAACGTTAACAAAAGATTAACAAAAACAGTAACAAATGTATTGCTCATGGTTAGTTCATGTTAGTTAATACTAGGGGTGTGCAAAAAAATCGATTCACATTTGAATCGCGATTCAATCTTTACCGATTCAGAATCGATTCATAGAATTCCAAAAATCGATTCATATATTTTTTTTTAATGGCGTGCACGGGCGGAGTGGCAATCGGGTGAGTCGGGACTTTTACCGGTGGTCCGGTAGTGTTTCGAGGCCGCGATCGAGGGCCGGTCTGATAAATAGTTACATTGCAAGTTCTTGCCGCCCGCTGGTCAAACTGTGCAGCCTCTCTGCTCAACCCGTAAATAAATGCATCGATCCGAAGATCTTATGTTTGAGTTCTGTAGATCTTTTGCCAAGCGTGTCAGATGTTACGGGTTCTAAACCGCACTCGTATAGTTTTTTCTCTCTCTCATCAAAACCGAATATGTTCATCACGTTTGTGTGCATTTTATTTTGTGATTTTCACCGGAGTCTCCACAACGGCGATTGATTGAAGCGCTCGTCCGAGTGAAGACTGCGTCGCGAGCCACAGAGAACACTCACGCAGTCTCATGAAAGTGCGTATCAATACCACGAATGTTATTTCTCGTGCCATTTATACGCCCAAAATGGTTTTTGCGTGTATATGCTACGCACTGAAAACCCCTTGGGTAGGATTAAGGGGGAGGGGGGAGGGGGATGCGTGTGTATTACACGCCATAAAGTGCGTATCATATGCACGCGAAAACTGCGTATCATATGGTAAATGGTAAATGGACTGCATTTATATAGCGCTTTCACAGACCCAATGGCCACCAAAGCGCTTTACAATTTGCCTCACATTCACCCATTCACTCACTCATTCATACACCGACGGGCGACGGCAGCCATGCAAGGCGCCATCCAGCTCGTCGGGAGCAGCTGGGGTTAGGTGTCTTGCTCATGGACACCTCGACACTTGGTCAGGTGGAACCGAGGATTGAACCACCAACCTTCCGGTTTGTAGACAACCAACATGAACCACTGAGCCACTGCCGCCCCTATCATATACACGCAACAACTATTTTTGGCGTATAAATGGCGCGAGAAATAACATTCGTGGTATTGATATGCACTTTCATGAGATCGGGCTGGAACACTGTATCCATGACACATAGCAGCGGCAACGAGCGCTCAGCTTGCACTGGATCTAAACAAATCAATCTAACCATAGATGTTACCAGTAGCGGTGGCTTTTGTTAAATCTATTTAAAATAATTTCGCATGGGTTCTATGATATTAGTATATATTTTTAGGAAGTTCAATGTGTCCAGTCGAGTTCACATTTCAACAGTCAACCTGGTAGCTGAAGTAGTCCTTAAACCACATATCTATAATTGTTTGTTTGATCGGACTACAGCACTTAAAGCTAAATGTAAAAGCTTTTTATTTAGGTAAGTTTTATTTTAAACTTGAATTGAATGTATTTGAAAGCTGGCCAAAGCTTGGCACTTTGCACTTTTTAGTTGCAAAAGTTTTTATTTTTGTATGAAGACATATAGCCTAAAGTAATATCAAACTACATGTACATTGTGTCTACTGCAATCAATCACATAGGAAAAAGTAAACTACATTTATATACGGCGAATCGTTTTTTGAATCGAGAATCGTTTTTGAATCGAAAATCGATTTTGAATCGAATCTTGAGACAAAAAATCGGTATCGAATCGAATCGTGACATTTTCTGAATCGTGCACCCCTAGTTAATACATTAACTAATGTTTAATAAATGAACCTTATTGTAAAGTGTTACCAAAATATCAATCAGACGACAGAAGGCATGTAGAAAATTGTGTGCAACAGGTTTTCAAATATAATACAGTAGGTTATTATTTTATAAGGTTAAAATACAAATGTCATCAGATGTCCAGTACTTTTTAATTAATTTTACAAGAATGATCTTTGCTCCCAACTACTAAAATCCAGAAATAACACCATCGCTTTAAAAAACAAAACACGAGAAAAGAATCCCTCATGCAACATGTAATGGCACAAATGTTTTGCTTCCATTTTAGACGTTTGTGATGCCTTTATTTGCAGAAAGGCGTATTTAAGACTTTAAGATCTTTTAAAGACCAGCAGAAACCCTTTTGACCAAAATAATACCATGCATCTTACCATGCTACATCATATACTGTTCTCCCGTGGAATCCAGACAAGGTACATATACACTTCCAGGACTCATCTGATGAACCTGCAACAAAATCACTATCAAATTCAACCCAGCGAAATCTAGACAATATAATTTTAAACCTGCTAAATATTCAAAATATTTATCAATAGAGTAAAACTGTACAGAAGAAATCCTAATGCTCTCACCATCTCCAGCCGTGGACTCCTTCCAGATCTTCACGGTACGATCATCGCTACAAGACGCCAATCTTCGTCCCTCAGGGTCAAAGGTCAAACTCCAGACAGTGGATTCGTGTCCCTCTAGAGTGGCTCTACATTCCCAGTCATCATCTTCCTCTTTATAAACGCACACTTTGTTGTCATAACTGGCTGATGCAAGAAGCTGCAAAAGGAAACAAGTTTCACCCTTAAAAATGAGCTGGTCTTTATGTGTCTGAAAACATTACAAGAGCGACAGAAAACATGCACGTGAATATCATACCTCCTGTGTCGGGTGCCAAGCGACATGCTTCACGTCCTGTGTGTGTGAATTCACAACACTTACACACTCATACTCGTCCTCCTCGTCCACTAGAAGAAAAATAAATGGTTTAACACAAATCATAGTAATCTTAATGACTGATTTAAAGGGATAGTTCACCCAAAAATGGAAAATTCTGTCATCATTTACTCAGCCTCAAGTTGTTCCAAACCTGTATGAATTTCTCTCTTCTGCTGAACACAAAGGAAGATATTTTGAAGAATGTCAGTAACCAAACAGTAGATGGACCCCATTGACTTCCATAGTATTTTTTTTCCATACTAGGGAAGTCAATGGCGCCCATCAACTGTCTGGTTACTCAGGTTTGGAACAACTTGAGGGTGAGTAAATGATGACAGAATTTTCATTTTTAGGTGAACTATCCCTTTAAGGCAAGACACTACAAGCAAATCCATAATTTTTTTCATGAACCAGCCAATAGAGATTTTGGGCTATTTTGCTTCCAGAACATGTTTTTCAGACTAGTGGAAATACACAATACACATTCAAGGGTTCATTTGATTACACTTTATCTAATTACAATACATATCATAAAGAAAAGTATTTTGTCCTGCACTGAACCAGAATTCTTCACTTCAGCAGCACTTACTGTACATACACCAAACTTTACAGTTGTATATTCATATTTATATATATTGAAGATTTTTACAGAAGGGCTTGTTTATATACCCCTGATTTAAATAACATTTTATTAGTGCTGTCAAATCGATTTATCGCATCTATACTATATATTTATTAGGGCCGGGACTTTAACGCGTTAATTAAGATTAATTAATTACACACTTTAACGCGTTAATTAATTACACAAAAAATTATTTTTAATCGCACTTATTTTTGCACCGCGGAACGTTTCACACTGGATGAGTTTCGGCGGACCGATTATACTGGCGCACCAACTAGCGTTCATGACGAAGAAACTGACGAGATCGCTTTGGTTGGCCGGTGGCTGGGAAATGTTGTTACAAAAAACGAACGGATGGACGCGTCGATAAGAGCATGGTTGTGTGCAAGCTATGCAACAAGGAATTCGCTATTGCTATTAGTGTAGTGTAGCAATATGCTATTTTGTTGCAATATGCTATTGCTACACTTAATGGCTATTATGGCTATTAGTGTAGTGTAGCAATATGCTATTTTGTTGCAATATGCTATTGCTACACTTAATGGCAAAAATTGCACTGGTCTGCTGGACTTGGTTGAACAAAAATAAACAATATTTTGTTGCTTAAGCTTATGTATGCAGTCATTATTCAATGGTATACTAAAAATCCATGTGAAAAAAATTACTTCTCACAGTTCTCAGGTCAAATATTTATGCGATTAAAATGCGATTAATTTCGATTAATTAATTACAAAGCCTCTAATTAATTAGATTAATTTTTTTAATCGAGTCCCGGCCCTAATATTTATATGTGTGTGTGTGTGTATGTATATAGTATATGTATATGCATGTGTGTGTATATATATATATATATATATATATATATATTTGAGTGATAAAAAGAGATATCCATTCCAAAATAATGTCTGTAAAAAATGTTTAACTTCATTATGTCAACAAAATGGACCAATTTTCAACCTGGCTTTATAAAATGCTCAGATTTCAGTTCAGAAATTTTAAGAAAATTAGTGCATTTTTAATTAGATAATGTGTCATTTGCATAATTAAATATAACAATAACTTGTCATAAAAAAAAAAATAGTTGTCATAATGTTCTGTGATTAATCAACTAGGTAAAGTATGGTGATAACTACTATTATTTCAATTTTGTACACTATTCACCTGTGGTTTCTTGCTTTAACCCCTTGGGAAAAACAGTCAAAATTAAGAAAAAAATTTACTATCGGTAACATTTTAGTTTAGGGTCCAATTCTCACTATCAATTTGCTTATTAGCATGCATATTACTAGAATATTGGCTGTTTATTAGTACTTATAAAGCACATATTAATGTCTTACTCTGCATGAACATATTCTACATCCCTTAATTCTATACCTTAACTTAATAACTACCTTACTAACTATTAATAAGCGTTAATTAGGAGTTTATTGAGGCAAAAGTCATAGTAAATAGTTTGTTAATAGTGAGATTTGGACCCTAATCTAAAGTGTGACCGTACTATCTTAATGCACATTCCTGGTCTAATTGTGAATAATTCATCAGTGCACATCATTCGAAAGGAAAAACAATGTTTGTATTTTATGCTTTTCACTATTCAATCCCCGATTCCTGATGTACCTTCCCAGATCCAAACACTTTTGTCTCTGCTGCAGGTGGCCAGTAAGTTTCCGGATGGAGCCCAGGCCACACACTTCACCTCGTTCTCATGACCTTCTAACACTGTCAGGGACTGCAAACACACATGACGGACACACGTCAGGCTGACTGACAGAATGTTAGTGATGTCACTTCCTTGAATTTTTTAAGGGTGTGAAATTATGCGTATTCAAAAACAAACCTCAAAACCATCATCCGTCTTCTTCCAGATGCATGTTGTAGCATCAAAGCTGGCCGATGCCAGATATTTCCCACAGGGCGACCAGGCCACCTTTCTGACCGTACGCTGGTGTCCATCAGACAGGACAGACTTACATTCCCAACTGTCCCCTGAGAACAGAAGACAAATAAAATACAATAATATACAATATATTTTATTTACACTATCTGCTGTGTCATAAAAATCAGACACAATATATATGTATATACACACACATATAAATATATATATATATACACTTATTTTATTTTAATATTATTCTATTTTATAAAGTTCAATTGAATTCACATTTATTTGTATATAAATCTTTTCACAATACATATTGTTTCAAAGCTGCTTTACAGAAAATGCATGAGTCCCCATTACAATTTAGAGTGATCTGTTATCAGAGATAACTAAGTTTTGTATTTCAGAAATGTACAAATACAAAATCACAGTTAGCTAAAAATGTATTAATTTAAACAATGTAATAATTTAAGCTCATTGCAGTAAGATGAATACTTTAACAAATTAAAAGTCTTGAGTCTGATTTTTATAGACTCAGTGTGTGTGTGTGTCACTAATAATGATTGAATGAGTACACTTTGACATACTATGAATGAATGAGGCATTTATATAATGCTTTCATATGTAACGTTACTACTGTACACCCAACGCGATTTACAATCATATCAGAGAATCTCTCCTCAACATGCGACGGCAGCCACAGTACAACGGCGCCAGTGCGCTCACCACACACCAGCTAACTTATATACTTCAGCTCTCATATTTAAGTACATGGGTTTAGACGGGTGATTCACGGTGTAAACACGTTTTTGCAGTTTTACCTTCTTTACCCCATATTCTTATCGCGCGGTCCCCGCCGCATGACGCGAGAAGTGTGCCCGTGGGGTTCCACTCGACGTACCAGCAGCGCGCGTCCGGGTGCGCGCTCACCCTCTGCAACAGCTCCATCTCGCCCTTCATTTCCATACAACTGTATGATATTTGTGATTATATGACATGTAAATCCTCCCCGTCTCTCTCTCTCTCTCTCTCTCTCTCTCTCTCTCTCTCTCTCTCTCTCTCTCTCTCTCTCTCTCTCTCTCTCTCTCTCTCTCTCTTAAATGTCACAACTTCAAGACTTCTGTGGTTTATCAGCGGCTCCTCACTTCCTGCTTTGTGCTTCAGTGTTTTTTGCTGTTGATACAAATGCACGACAGTAGCGCCACCACCAGGAGTGTAGCGGAAGTTAGAGGAAAATATCTTACAAAATATGCTTTTATTTAGAGTAAGTTCTATTATTTTATTTTTTATTATTTTTTATTTTATATATATTTTTACGTTTTGTTTGCTTTATGATATTGTATGTATTAGCTATTAACTAAAAGATTTTAATTATTTAAGCGGAAGTTGGATGAAAATATATATTTATGTGAACGAATGATGTTACAAAAAATGCTTATAGAGTAAATTCTATTATTTCATTTTTTTTTTAAATATATATATATTTTTAAACGTTTTGTTTGCTGTATGATATTGTATGTATTAGCTATTAACTAAAAGAGTTATTTAATTGATAGTGCACTGTAAAACAAGGGTGGAAGGATCTCTGTAAGAACATGTATTATAAGTGGAAAATCTTATATGGCATCACATTTACAGAATTGTTTCAATTCCTCACACAAACGTCATGCATATGTACTCGAGGACTGACGTTTGCAGAAGGACGCGTCTGATTGGCTTAAACGGCAACACACAGGAAACGGAAGTCTGAGGCAGGAGAATCTCCGTCTGATGGAGGAAGCGGACGGACTATTGTTTACGTTTTTCACTGGAAATCAAGAATAAGACACACGAAAATGTCTTCGATGTAGCGGCGATCAGCGGGATCATTCGAAGCTGAACATATTACAATTTGGTTTTAATATTTTTTATATTTTGGTGGGGTTTGAGAAGGTTTTAAAGGGTTTTGTGTGTTGAGAAGGCCAGTTTATGTCACAAATGATCAAATCTGATTAAAAACCGACAGAGGAGCTTCAGTCACAACAAACTGGTAAATATAATCTTTAAATAAAAGTTTGGGATAAATATAGATAGGCTATTAATCTTTTGTTATATAACAGGAGGAGCTTAAAAAATTTCCACATACTTTTTTATGTATTCTGTTATTAAGTGTCTTTTTATACTGACCAGTAGGCTAATCATTAGTGTATATAGATAGATAGATATAGGTTAACAGTTATTAACACGTCTATGTAAATCTCTTGTATTATCAGTAATGCCTATCTATAACTATAATTAGATAATTGCTATTATTCTTAATTAGTATATCATTAGTTATTTTTTATGATTATTTCCTTAACTATTTCACTGATTAGTTCTAAGTGGGTCAGAACTAAATTTGTACTTAGTCTTATCTTTTTAATATATTATAGTATTAGTAATATAATATATATATAATAATATATTTTTGTTTTGATTTTTCAGCTGTAGTACCGGTGGAGGTCAAACCCCAGAGCTGACCACTCTCACTCCGGTGTATTTGAGTTTTACTTTTTTGATCGAGGCTTTTCAGTAGGTTTAAGACCATGTACGCACCCCCGGGAACTGCTCTGCCTGGCAACCGAAGGAGGAGAGGTGGTACGGCTCTACCCAAACAGCCCGAGAGGAGTCTGGCGTCGGCGCTGCCCGGGGCGCTCTCCATCACGGCTCTCTGTACGGCCCTGGCAGAACCGGCCTGGCTCCGTGTCCATGGAGGAACCTGTCCCAGACAGGAGATTGGTGTCGCAGATGTCCTGGGATATATAGATGACAATCTCATTAAGGGTTGGTATCCCAAACTGTTTTTATTTTTTATTCATTTGAATATATTTTAAAATGTAATTTATTCCTGTTATGCAAAGCTGAATTTCATTCTTCAGCGTCACATGATCCTTCAGAAATCATTCTAATATGTTGATTTACTTCTCAAGATATATTTCTTCCAATTATTATTATCAATGTTGAAAACAGTCGTGCTGCTTCATATTTTTGTGAAAACTGTGATACACTTTGTGTCCAATATTCTTTGATCAATAAAAATTTTAAAAGAACAGCATATATTTGAAATAGAATCTTTTTGTAACATTATTTACTGTCACTTTTGATCAATTGAATGCATCCTAATTCCTTTAAAAAATGTAAACAATTTACAATAAGGTCTTATTTGCATCAACTAACATTGAGCAACATATACTGCTCGTCCAAAAAAAAAGATTTATATAATATTCCAGCCATATTCTAGGATGACAAAATCAAGATTCATCATGCTCAAATTGTGAAAGAATGGTTGGTAGGAGCATGAAGAATCATTTCACACATGAATTGGCACCAGACCTTAAATTCATTGAAAATCTTTAGGATGTGCTGGAGGAGACTTTACAGAGTGCTGGACTCAATACAAGATCTTGACCCAAAAATGATGCACCTCTTGATAATAAATGTTATTTCCATCAAGAGGTGTATACATTTTTGGCCAAGACCTTGTATTGATTATTCTGGTATATGGCCATGATGTGTCTTCCAGGTTCCTGAAGTGAACTAATTCGTTTTTTTGCTCTCAAGCTTAATGTCGAACCATTTTCTTCTCACTTCTGGGAATGTTCGATTAACAGATGAAACTCCATTAACTGCATCTAATATGCTGCCAAGCTTCCTTTTTTTTTTTTGGACCCGATACGCCACTATGTACGCTTGAAAATAAAATGTGCCGTTTTAAATGGACTTCTGATAATAAAACTTCAATTTCTGCATCTGAGATTTTTTTTTTTTCATTCGCATTCATGTCATAATATGATGCCCATATATAGTTGTCAGTCGGATTTAATGGGCGGGATTTATGGTAATTGAGCGTGCACGCGCGTCCCATTTACGACTGATTGGAATTCATTAACACACACACACATTTCACTATCACATCTGACGTTTACGAAGTATTTGTGAATCAGGAGAAGAGTTTTCGGGAAGGTCTCTTTACGCGCAAATCACTCGCATATTTACTCGTATATTTACGAATGTTTCATGAATGAGACCCAATGACTCTTAAGCATTTGCCTATTTAAATCCAAACAGCAACTTTATTTTTTTTGGCTGGGCAGTGGGCAGTGTATATAATATTAACCTCTGTTAATATTAGTTAGTAAAAATGCATTAACTATTGTTAACAACTATGACTTTTGATCTCAAAAATGTACAAGTAAATTAACATTAAGTACAAAATGCTGTAGCGGTATTGATCAATCTTATTTCATGTTAACTAACGTATTCAACTAATGTTAACAAATGAAATCTTATTGTAAAGCGTTACCAAAAAATCTTCTTGACTCCAAACTTTTGAATGGTAGTTTGCGTAGATTACACATCGAAGTTGTTGAGTTCCGATATTGAGATCTTCCACTTGCTCTGTTAATGATAAACTTTTGTCGATTCTCTCCCACAGATAACTGTATAAACTCTCAGTCCATCCTGCTCTTGCGGGTCATTGCTGCTTTCTGTTTTTTGGGCATTCTGTGCAGCCTGACGGCATTTCTGCTGGATGTCTTTGGACCCAAACACCCAGCCCTCAAGATCACACGCAGATACGCTTTCGCTCACATCCTCACAGGTATGACTTCATAAAGGATTTAGTTCTTAAAGGGTTAGTTCACCCAAAAATGAAAACTCGGTCAGTAATTGCTCTCCCTCATGTTGTTCAACCCCGTAAGACTTTCGTTCATCTTCGGAACACAAATTAAGATATTCTTGATTAAATCTGAGAGCTGGATCACTCCTCCATAGGCTTCTTAAGGGATCGAAACTGGCCGGCCCAAAAGTTATGAAAGACATCGTTAAAATAGTCCGAGTGACGACAGTGGCTCAACCTTAAGTTTATCAAGCGACGAGAATACTTTTTGTGCGCAAAAACAAACAAAAATAACGACTTTATTCAACTATTCATTTCCTTCTCTGTACGGCCGTGAGATTTCACGTAGTGATATTGCACAAAGCTTCTAGGTTGTACGTCACACGTAGGCTCACTATACGCTGGTCATGTGTGTAATGCGTGACGTACAACCTAGAAGCTTTGCGCAATATCACTAGGCAAGGCAAGGCAAGTTTATTTATATAGCACATTTCATACACAATGGCAATTCAAAGTGCTTTACATAGGAGAAAATAAAATAATCAAAACAAATAAGAATAATTAAAACAGTTTAGAATAAAAAATAAAATAAAGTACAGTAAAAACAGTCGGACGAACAGTGGCACAGTGCTCATTCAGTAAATGCATAGCTAAACAGATGTGTTTTGAGTCTGGATTTGAATGTGACTACTCTAGGAGCACATCTGATCTCCTCTGGAAGCTGGTTCCAGCTGCGGCTGGCATAATAGCTAAAAGCGGACTCACCATGCTTAGAGTGAACCCTTGGTATTTCTAGCTGATGTGATCCTAAGGATCTGAGTGATCTGTTAGGTTTATATTCAGTGAGCATATCTGCAATATATTGAGGTCCTAGCCCATTGAATGATTCATATACCAGTAATAATATTTTAAAATCAATCCTAAATGTAACTAGGAGCCAGTGTAAAGACCTGAGGACTGGTGTGATGTGTTCATATGTTCTGGTTCTCAGCGTTCTGTATGAGCTGCAACTGTCTTATGGTCTTTTTAGGAAGGCCAGTGAGGAGTCCATTACAGTAATCCACCCTGCTGGTGATTAAAGCATGCACAAGTTTCTCTAAGTCTTGACTTGAAACAAAGCATCTAATTCTTGAAATATTTTTCAAATGATAGTATGCTGATTTAGTAATTGCTTTGACATGACTACTGAAACTAAGGTCTGACTCTAGAGACACACCAAGATTCCTGACTTGATTTTTAGTTGTTAGACCCCTAGCGTCAAGGTATGCGTTCACCTTGAGAACTTCATCTTTGTTTCCAAACACAATGACTTCAGTTTTGTCTTTGTTTAACTGAAGAAAGTTTTGGCACATCCAACTGTTGACTTCATCAATGCATTGGCACAGGGAGTCAATGGGGCTGTAGTTGTTAGGCGATAGGGCTAAGTAGAGCTGTGTGTCGTCTGCATAGCTGTGGTAAGAGATTCGGTTCTTTCTCATTATTTGGCTCAGTGGGAACATATACAGGTTGAATAGGAGTGGTGCAAGAATTGAGCCTTGGGGGACTCCGCATGTCATGGATGTCCACTCAGACTTATGGTCTCCTATACTCACATAATAACCTCTCCCTTCTAAGTATAACCTGAACCATTTTAGGACTATCCCAGAAAGCCCCACCCAGTTTTCCAGCTTGTCAAGAAGTATGTTGTGATCGACAGTGTCAAATGCAGCGCTGAGGTCGAGTAGTACCAGCACTGATAATTTGCCTGTATCAGTATTTAAGCGAATATCGTTTATTATCTTTATGAGCGCTGTCTCTGTGCTGTGATGCGATCGGAAACCAGATTGAAAATTGTCAAAGTATCCATTCAAGCTTAAGAATTTGTTCAGCTGATTGAAGACTGTACGTGTCTTCACACTACGTGAAATCTCACGGCCGTACAGAGAAGGAAATGAATAGTTGAATAAAGTCGTTATTTTTGTTTGTTTTTTGCGCACAAAAAGTATTCTCGTCGCTTGATAAACTTAAGATTGAGCCACTGTAGTCACTCGGACTATTTTAACGATGTCTTTCATAACTTCTGGGCCGGCCAGTTTCGATCCTTTAAGAAGCCTATGGAGGAGTGATCCAGCTCTCAGATTTAAAGGTGCCCTAGAATGTGAAATTGAATTTATTTTGGCATAGTTAAATAACAAGAGTTCAGTACATGGACATGACATACAGTGAGTCTCAAACACCATTGTTTTCTCCTTCTTACTTAAATCTCGTTTTTGAAAAACACCCCTGAAAAATAGGCAAATCTCCACATAACACCGACTGTGACGCAACAGTCGGGATCATTAAAATGTACGACTCCAAAAATGTGCATATGCCAGCCCATGTTCAATGCCAGGCGGAACTGCGCAGCCGAAGCATAGCAGTTGATCAGTGTTTGGATGTACACATGAACACTAAAGTATTCTTTAGGTCCTTCATCCGAGCCTCTGAAGAAACAATGGGTTCATTTTATTTTCTCTGGAAATTTCCAAACATTTCACCGACGACTGTTTCCTCAACTTGGGCCAATACAGAGCTGGCCTCGGATCGAGCTACCAAGCAACACTTTCTGCTGTGTAATTGTTTAAGTTCAGACAGGTAATCTTTCTCTCAAAATCGTTCGCTACTGTTTATGCATCAGTAAGTCAAGCCAGTGACTAAAATGTCAACTTCACATCGTTTCTTTTAGTAGGATGAAAAGAAATCAATGACGCACGTTACACTGCACAACGAAGCTCTTACTGTATGTACATCATCGTGTTTGCATTGGTGAAAACATTAGAGAGAGTGTAGAAACTGCGTTACAATGATAAGATCTTCATTCTCGCGATCAACAGACTGTCCTCTGCTTGCTCAATGCTCATCACGGCAACATTTTATGTGATGGGAATAGATCTAAATACTTTAAAAACATCTCACGATTCGTTAATCTCGATAGCTGTTATAGTAAAAACGTATAATAGCTGTAGTAAAATTATTCGAGAGAGTTTCACATGTAATACATAGCTATTTCATATGCAAGCATGTCAGCCAATCACAGCAGTGGGCGGTTCCACTGAATCCCACAGCAGACACGCCCCTTCAAACAGAGCGTTCAAATCAGAGGCAAAAATCAGGCTAGGAAAAATGTTCTAAACTTTTATTTCTAAATTATGACTATTTTTGATCTAAAAAACATACTAACATTATAAGGGCAACCCAGGAAACATTATAAAAAAATAAAAATAAAAACATTCTAGGGCACCTTTAATCAAAAATATCTTCATTTGTGTTCCGAAGATGAACGAAAGTCTTACGGGGTTGGAACAACATGAGGGAGAGTCATTACTGACAGAATTTTAATTTTTGGGTGAACTAACCCTTTAATATCAATACAGTTATTTGTTTTAGTCTTAATGAATCTGTGTGTTCCAGTGCTCCAGTGCGCTACAGTGATCGGCTTCTGCTACTGGGCCTCGGAACTGATTCTGTCCCTGCAGCAGCAGCACAAGAAGTACCACGGCTCGCTCATCTACGTCACTTTCGCCATCAGCTTCTACCTGGTGGCCGGTGCAGGCGGAGCCTCTATTTTAGCCACAGCGGCCAACCTGCTCCGTCATTACCCCACTGAGGAGGAGGAGCAAGCCCTGGAGCTCCTCTCCGAGATGGAGGAGAGCAGTGAAACATACCCAGTTGACTACGACATTACCAACCAATTCCAGCCTCCACCGGCCTACACACCCTGATCGCCATATTCCCGCGTGTTCGCTGCCCAACGCCACTCCTGTCTTCTTCACGTGCCACCTTTGGCCTTCAGACAAAGAAATGATGCTCAGATTTTAGGTGCCCCATCAAAAATGAATATATACTGTATATATATTCAGTATTCCAGATCATGCAGAATGCCCATATCCATGCACACATTTAAATGAGCGTTTTACTTTCAGCAGACAGAGCTTGCGTGCATGGAAGAAATCAAAGAGAGTAATTATGGCATTGCTTGTAGAATTCCATTTGAATTCATCTTGCAGTAGTTTGCATGTATCTGGCAGTAAAAATCCACACAGGTCTACTTTGAAACAAGTTTTTTTGGCACGCTTTTATTATTGATTGAAGACTTGAAGGATGCAAAGCATCTCGGCATCATGCTTGTTGAAGATGCATTTACTGGAGCCTAAACTGTGCAGAATTAGTTTCTGTATAATCATCCAAAGGTATCTTTTTTCTGCCTCATCGCAGGTTTATCACATTTTCCATTTTCCTCACAGGTTTATCATGTTTTCCAAATGTTGAGCTGCACTTTTGACTTTTGTTCCTGTTTTTCAAGCGGTCATTTATAGACACTTTCCTTTGTAAAAAAATTAATAATAATAATAATTTTTTAAATCATGCTAGGTATCAATGTATCCTTTTATTTATTTGAATTTATCAGTAGCCCACAGATGCTGCCATATCTGCACACTTCTGGATTCACCCCATCACATTTTAAAAAATAATTTCAATAGGCTTTTAATCAGTTATTGTAATGTTATTTTAACGCACATATAGCTGCAAATACCCAAGATAGATGGACAAATTATTTATTATTTATTATCTGGTTGACGTAGACTCTCAAAGAAACTAGACAGCAAATTTATGTACCTGTAATTTGGAGGCGTTCAGGTTTGCCAACATCACATCGTAAGTTTGTTCTGTATTAATTGGATTTTATTCTTGTTTTTTAGTGCAATTGTGTTTGGTGTGTTTTGATAGTATCAGTGTGAGTGTGAGGATGTTCTGATGAAAGAGTCTTAACACATTTGATCAAGATTGTATCCACAATTTACTTGTCTAGCTTTTGCTCTGGTCTGATTATTTTTGATAAAATCACTGCATGGAATTTGATACTGCACTTGTGTTGCATAAATGGACTGTACTTGTTCAGATTTCACTTTTTTATTTTTAGTAATCTGGTGGTTTTGTGTTTTACATTATTTTACATTTCCCTTCTGTGTTTCATTGAAAGAAATACGTTTACTTACATGGAAAATAAAGAGAAAAAAATCAAAACAATGTGTGCGTGCATGTTTGTTTCCTCAATGCGTGTGCACGTCGAATTCTAAGCGCGCGGTTGCCATAGCAACGTTTGATTCATCCGGGAAGCGACACCGCCGGCATTTCACCTGAAACGACATAAATGACCTTAATTTGAAGAAATACTCGTTTAAATGGTCTTTATTTGGTCAATTTTTCATAGAAAAGGCTGACGAATGATGGCTGATGCAATATCGCTTATGAGGTATGTTGTATGTAAATGAGGGCAGACACATATTATGTAAATACATTTTAGGAAAAGGAAGCTGTAAATTAGCTTTATAAGTGAACTGACTTGTATAGCTTGCTTAGTAGCGAGATAAATTGACTACATAAAAAGTTCCAGCTTTAAAATGCTGGTGTCGTGCTTACGTAGGTGCACATAAACAAGAGCATGAGCCAAAAATCCATGAATTATTATTTTTTAGCAGCACCATGTCCACCAGTAATCTGCCACCCCTGCGAAACCTGCCCAGCTGGTCCAGGGTTCGAGACCTGGACAGGGTGAGGTACCCCAGACTTCTTTCTAGTGACTATATGGTCAGATCTCCACCTGTGGACATCAGGAGCCCTAAAGCAGCGGCTCTGCCCAGGACAGATGCACACGACACGCGCATCACCTCTCTGGAGAAAGATATTCTGTTCCTCCAACAACAGCATACAGACACACTGGAGAGACTGCATGCAGAAATGGAAGATCTGAAGCGTGTTAATAAAGGTTTGTCATTGCATTCTGCTTCAGATTCTGCATAAATGGGGCAGAAAATGAAAATAGTGCCATTTGCACTTTAGGCCATTTTTTTGGGAGGCTAGTAATGGTGAGCTAGCTTTGAAAGCATGAGATCTCACCCTCCCTTCAGAGCGTCTCCAAAGCCACGCCTCCTTTAAAACCTCCATGAACACACACAGCAGAGTCTGCGAAGCTCACCAGAAACGGCACTAAACTACTTCGTGTCTCAAAGCACATGACATTACAATAATAATGAACAAAAACAATTTACAGAGCTCTGACTTGTACCACCTGACTGCTGCAGATTAATTTCGTTGTTGATAGTGTCGGACCGAATGCAATGATTGGACGAACATTTTTTGGTCCTTAGACTTCCACAGAAGATATGTAGATGTTTTAATATTTAGACCACTTCTATTGTTGATTGTTATCAGGAGGATGTGAAGAGAGTTTCAACCTGTATAACAAAAAGTGTTAACCCTACCTTTAAAATCATCAATGTGATTTTGTTTTTTAAATATAAATTGAGTTTGATGAGGCCACTATACTTCCATAAATACTTTTTAAGGCTGTAAGACAGACTTGTTTTAACCAAATGGTCAGAAAGATGATGATGATGTCATGTCCCCAAACATGATGTTAGACAGAACAAACCGTTATTTTTAAAGGGGGAAATGTGAGTTGAAACAAAAGTGAAGGACAAAATAACTTAAATATGTTGACATGAAATTTTAATATCAGTAAATGCAAAGTCTAAGTATAATGTGTTTTCTTACATTTTCATAAGCAATTAAAATGTAATGAACATGCAAATTGGCTGTCTTTCTGATTAAAAGCAAACATTTAAAAGTATTTTAAGCTATGTATTATGTTAAAATTTCTGCATTACATCCAAAACATTGTCATAGTTCAGTGAAGTTCAGTTATGGGGCACAAACCGCTGACAGGTTGTTTGAGCTCTCGTACCATATCCAGACTTGCATATTAACTTTTTCTTTTACAGAATTACAGTATCAGATGGTTATGGAACATGAACATTCTCCAAAAGGTAGAATATGTTTGATCAAGCCTAATTTTTCATAACCATATTCATAAATATATACTCGCTTTGTGCATAGGAAAGATCTAATTCATGGTTTCACATACAGGGCTTAGATTAAGCCAGGATTAGGCATTAGTTCAATTAGAGCATTTAAGTAGCTTTTATAAACGTGCCTTAGAAGAAAACATCACTGGTGTGTATCTTGAGACAAAACAATGGCACATTTTAAGATATATCAGTGCAAGTTGCTTTAATTTAAAACAGCTCAAACATGAATTTTAGTCTGGGACTAGACTAAAGCCTTGTCTGTGAAACCAGGGGGTTATTATTTCTTAACCTGTACTGTTGTTTACTGCGAACTGACAGCCATGTGATCCACACAGAGTCCAGTCATTCCTCAAAATCCTGCAGTGATGGTTCAGCCGAGAAGAATTTCAGGTACTTACTGTAGCGTCTGTGATCATCTGACCTACCTTAAGCAAATAAATCACACGTCCTCCTGCTGTGACCCGCTCCAGCTCAGAGGCGGGAAGAGGAGGTGCAGTCACATCACTTCTGCCTCTCAGGATCACCTGCGGTCTGTCCCAGCATCCCCGAACCCCCACGCTGAAGGAGTGTGAGGGCATCATCCGGCAGCTCTATCACGCCAACACCTCGCAGTATCAGGAGGTCAGGAGCATCATGTCTTCATCATGTCTGTTCTCATTCATGTGTTCATACTTGACGCTCATGTTCCCTCACTCAGCTGCTGCGGATCAAGACGCTCCTCGGAGACATCGCCTCCAAAAACAAATCATCCGCTGAAGTTTTCTCTCTCGCAAGAGCCTGCCTCTGTGACAACAGCAGGTGCACCATTATTCTGCTCACCAAAATACACTGGTCATATTTCACCCCAAAATCTATAGAAAGAAATAATTAAAATCTACATTTTGCAAAAAAAAAAAAATATATATATACACATATATTAAGCACAATTGGAAGTATACATAATGCAGACTCTGACTTTAATAATAATGATTGAAAAAAAAACACTGAACAGGATTGTTATGAAAATAAATAATCCAATGTCATGAAATATAGTTTAAATATATTAAAAACAAGTTTTTCATTATGATTTTTTAAAATAAAATTTAATTTACAAAATAAATAAATAAACTATATTTTGCCTGAAATTTCAGTTAAAAAATAATAATTTTATAACGATCATTTAACTTGTAAAGCACAATTGGAACTACACATAATGCATACTTTGACTAATAACAATGCTACTAATAATAATAATAATTCAAATCATTTTTTCTGAACAGAATTGTCAAGAAAATAAATAATGCAAAAAAATGCTCCTAAACCAGGCTTTTGGTTTATCCAATATATTTTCTAATATAAATTTGACCTGGACATGTTCTTGTAAGATTCACCTTGTTACTCTATTATTTAATTATATCATAATATAATTCTATTTACCTATTCAGAGTCAATCTGTAAAATCATTTGCACTTTATTTGCACATTTTGGTTCTCTTTTAGGGGTGAAGTTTTCGAGCATTTACCAAAACTACCTCTCAAACCACTGCCAAAGAAACAGTAGGTTGACTTTTCTATTCATATCACCACAGGCATTTTGAAACAATCTGAAACTGATTTTTTTTATTTAAATATCACCCCAGGCACCCGAGTCAAGCCGGTAAAGGAGAAACTGTGATTCTACCAGCCATCAAACGCAATTCAGGCGGCACCATGTCAGAGCGGCAGAGGAGAGCGCAGGACGTGCACAAAACACGCCTCAGAAGAACGGTGAACTCTTGACACCACTGATGATGATGATGATGATGATGAAGTGGAACATGACCTTTACGGTGAGGGTTACACCGTCCCACTTCTTTCATTGAGCCATCATGTTAGGCTTTTCTTCCCTCATGAAAATGCTTAAACGTATACAGTATAGTGTTCTTTTTTATGTCAGTCTCTAAAAGAAGTTGAAGGAAATATGTATTTTCCCTGACCACAGAGATCTACACATGAGGAATGAGTGAGCGGCTGCTGATCATGTTTGATTCCCTAATGAACTACATAAGAATCTTTCCAGAGAAGCAGCCAAATGTCAAAGTTGAGACGAGAGCTAAGCTGCCTGTCCTTCCATCCACAGGAAGGTCCGTAAAGTCAGAGACAGAAACAGACACAATGTATACATCAGAGCTTTTAAATCAAATCTCTCATAATAACTTTTTACCTTGATTTGATGTGTGACATTTCCTTGATAATAAGTCTCTTTAAATAAATGCACCAGCAACATATTATGACGTGTTTTTGTACAGTTCTCTTTCCTAAAACTGTGTGCTTGAAGAATCTGAGGGCGTTTGCACCAATGGTCAGAGAGTTTGTGCATATTCCTGGACTTTTCACAAAGAGAGGCTCACTATGTTTCATGTGTACGTGCACTAGTGTAATCTGGACGTTGAGAAGGTTTTACAGTGTGTCCTATAGGATCTTTAACTGATGGCTACAACTACCCATTGGATCGCTGCCCGGGATCCCAGCAGACACCACATAGTATTACTGTGTTTAAGAGCCTTATTAACTAATTGGTATTAGAGGGCACTATCTCATTCAATTACAACTCAATTCAATGTTTTATGGGCGCTTTCCTTCGACATAAAACTGTACTTATACTGTACAAACGGTCTATTCTATCGTCTAACCCTAAATCTACCCATGACGGAAAACGCTCTGCATTTTTATATATTAAAGACATCACTTAGTGTGATTATAAGCTGTTTTCCTCATGGGGACCAAGAAATGTCCCCACAAGGTCAAAAATGACTGGTATTACTATCCTATCTTTGTGAGGACATTTGGGTCAAGACACCTGTGGCGCTGCGAGTGAGGCGACAGGTCAGAAGGGTCAGACGGGCTGTTTAAGGAGGTAAATGTGGGTAAACGCCCGCAGCCCCAGCAAAGCATCAACAGGTGTTGACCAAATGACTTAAGGTAATAAGATAATTGAGGAAGGTATTATTAGATAAGCAATGAAGAAAGGAAAAGGGTTGTTCAGACAAAGTATCTTATCTTCTCAGAAACGTAGCTTACAGAGTGACGTCCCACATGCAACATGTAAAACTGTATAAAAGAGCCGGGCCTCGCATGCATCAGGATCGGACGCATTGAGTTCAGTCTGCACAACTCTCTGTCGCTCGGTTGATATCTAAACTCAGCAGTGGGATCATGTTGGCATCACGGGCATTCCTCGCCAAGCAGGCAGCAGCGATGCTGGCGCGCCAACCCGCCTGCCTGGTGCATCATGGGGGAGACTGGGGGAACTGGGGCAACACCAACATCGCCGTGGTAAGAACACAAAATGCCACAAACACAGCATTTGGTATTGAGTTTCTTGGTTAAGATATAGTCTGATCATGTGACTGGATCTGCTGTTGAAGGTTTTCTCAGGCTGTGGTTGGTGGGATGGAACTGACGTCCACGAGGCTGCGTAGTAAGTAAACAGCAAGTGTACACTTCAAAACATCACTTACTCTGGTCTTTTTTAACAGTAAAAACATAGAGGCATCCTTAAAACAAGTTTCATTTACAGTAACTCATTTGTTAACATAAACTAACAATGAGCAGTATATTTTTACAGCATTTATTAAGCTTTGTTAGTGTTAGTTAAAAAGGTTCATGTTCACTTACAGTGTAAGGTAACACTTTACAATAAGGTCTCATTAGTTAATCCATTAACTAACAATGTGCAATGTTACTGTAATCATAATAAAAGGTACAACTTTTGATTTGAATAAGATATTAGCAAAATTTTGAAATTAACATTAAGATTATTAAATGTTTTAGAATTATTGTTAATTTTTAGTTCAAGTTAATTAATGTTAACAAATGGAACCCTATTGTAAAGTGTTATCATTATATCTTTAGAACGTATTGATCTGTGTTAGGGTTATTATGTAAGGGATAATGTACAGTCACCTTGCCATTATCACAAAATAAACTCTGACTGGGTCATCAGGACTTTATTTAGGGATGATGACAGCACATTATCCTTCTTGTTACAATACTACTTACCAAATAAATAGACTAAATATGGATTTGAGCTGAAGTGATTTATAGTGATGTGTGAAACTTACCTGGTTTAAAAACCAGGTAAAAATTATTTGAACACAGAATCCTGCTTTCGACCAATCAGCATCAAGTATTCTAGAGAGTTGTGACGCATACTGCTATGTCTCTTTAAAGCACCATGTACCACTTGAGCCGTAATGGAGCCCGTTTTCAGATCTTTGCTCCAAACCAGCAGCAAATGCACGTCATGGATCACATGAAGATGCAGCCCTCTACAAGTGACAACAGGTAGACATCATTAACATGAAATGTATCATGAAATATTATAATTACACAGCTTTTCAAATTACCATTCTATAACAACAAAAAAAGCCATGGAAGCATCATGTTAACCAATGGTTTTTGGATGTGTACCATGGTATCCTTTGAAGTAGCATTTAAATATGAACATAGAAATCATTCACAAGTACCATGGCAAAACCATCAGATAGCAAACTGTTCCCTCTCCGCAGGAACATGATGATGGAGTCTGCACGATTCAGCCACGGTCAGGGCACGATGCAGATGAACGATCTGTCCAAACTGGACGTCAACAGCTTTGATGCCGTCATCTTCCCTGGAGGCCACGGAATAGTCAAGAACCTGTGAGAGAGGCAGTCTTATAGTTGAGGGTCTATACTAATGCAGATATAAATGTTTTTGAAAAGAAATTGAACGCATCCCAAAAGAAGTGCATTGTCCTGACAGAAGAGACCATCAGAGTCCATCTGCACTTACTTAAACTTTGATTACCCTCAGATTACATGTGGATTGGCTATTTCATTGTTTGTCACCCCAGATCTATCACTATTCCTGGAGCGACAATCCTCTTATCATGTTTCACTATTAGCAAACAAATGATTAAGTCCAAGAGGAAATACAGGCGATGGATGAGACTAATCCACGTCTGAGCTAATCCACCTTTTTATACTCAACATTTGATATGATATGCTGAAGTGAGAAAGTTCCTTCAAGGTTCCAAGTCGTGTTTGCTTGAAATGAGCTGGGAGAGACATCTAAGGTTTTTTTTTTTCTGGGTTGTTTTTGCAAAAATGTCTCATTTCTAATATGACGATTACAAATTTCTGCTGACTTTCACAGGTCCACCTTCAGCAAAGATGGTAAAGACTGCAAGCTGAATAATGATGTGGAACGAGTTATGAAGGAGTTCCACCGCGCTCGCAAGCCCATTGGGTACCCGACTATAAAATATTCAAAATCTGAATTGGATCCTTGTATATTGTGCATACCGAGGTGACACTGATCACATAAACTCTTTTAGGTTGGAGGATCAGATGTCCTTGTTTCATCTACATTTTTCACTCAAATTGTTATGTTATGACAAATGCTGTGTTCATTTAATGTAAAATGTAAAATAGTGGTCTCCGCTGTATATTTGAATGATTCAGTTCAAATGTTTAAACATTTTTCACCTGAGCTGAATCCGGCTCTCTTTGGCTCAGTCTGTCCAGCATGGCTCCTCTCCTGGCGTGCCGAGTGCTGCCGAGTCTGGAAGTCACAATGGGTTACGAACGTGACGAGACCAGCCGCTGGGGCCGCTGGCCCAACACCAGCATGGTGCAGGCGGTCAAGAGCATGGGGGCCCGCCACAACACCCGCGAACCTTACATATCCTTTCATTGAGACAAAGTTTTCTAGAGACATATTTTACCCAAAGCATTATTAGTGTAAAACTTTAAAGGGATGCTCCACCCAAAAATGAAAATTCTGTCATCATTTACTCACCCTCGAGTTGTTGCAAACCTGTATGAGTTTCTTTCTTCTGCTGAACACAAAGGAAGATATTTTGAAGAACAATTGGAACTTTGGCACCATTGACTAGCTATAGTATTTTTTTTTTTTTCTACTATGGAAGTCAATGGTGCCAAACAACTGTTTGGTTCCAATCGTTCTTCAAAATATCGTCCTTTGTGTTCAGCAGAAGAAAGAAACTCATACAGGTTTGCAACAACTTAAAGGAACACTCCGACTTTTTGGGACTTTAGCCTATTCACCTTATCCCCCAGAGTTAGATAAGTCCATACATACCTTTTTCAGGGTATGTATGTAACCGCAGCACCTGAGACGCGCTCTCTGCTCCTCACCACGGCGCGTCTCAGGTGCTGCGGTTATCACTCCGCCCAAGTAGCAGTGCTTCGCTGTCAGAGAATATAGTTCCCAGTATTTATACGGTTAAAATATGTCTGTGTCTCATGTGACTTTGTTTTTTGTACACTCTGTGACTATACAAATCACAAAATGTAAATAGAAAAATGTTTGCGTTATTTTTTCACTCATTTGGATTAGTATGCTTGCTAGCTGCAACCATTTACATCCAGTCTTTGTGCTAAGCTAGGCTAGCGGTGGGTGCGTCAGATATAGAATTACAGCACGCACGGAGATGAAAAAGGTATGTATGGACTTATCTAACTCTGGGGGATAAGGTGAATAGGCTAAAGTCCCAAAAAGTCGGAGTATTCCTTTAAGGGTGAGTAAATGATGACAGAATTTTCATTTTGGGGTGGAGTATCCCTTTAAATGTGCCTTTAAATGATGCAAGAAGTTACTCATTGCATCTCTAAACGCATGTCAACTTGATGTCATGACAATAAAAAAAAAACCTTATTTCCCCCTTAACTGCCCATCTCACGAGGCCTATGTGGACGAGAAAAACAAGGTGATCAGCACTCCATCCTTCATGTGGGAGACTGACTACCACTACCATTACATCTTTGATGGCATCGGGAACATGGTCAAGCACGTCATGCGTATGACTGCCAAGTGATTCTCGTGGGATGCAAGACACCAGAAGGCTTTCACACTTAACTTTAGGTTGACCCGATTCGCTATTATGTGGACATACAGAAAGTAAATAAATAAATAAATAAATAAAAAAGCATGCAATGCAACTCCTGTGTTGTACTATGTTTTGTATAGCCTATACCAGTGTTTCCCAACCCTGTTCCTGGAGGCACACCAACACTACACATTTTCCAACTCTTCCCAATCGATCACACCTGAATCAACTCATCAGCTCGTTAGTAGAGACTCCAAGACCAGAAATATATGGGTCAGAAAAGGGAGACATCCAAAATGTGCACTGTTGGTGTGCCTCAAGGAGTAGGGTTGGGAAACACTGGCCTATATGGTGTGTATAGAGCTTCTGTAGCCCCGCATTACGCATGTTGTGTTCTGTCTTCTAGTTTGTATTTCCATAGCATGAAGGTAAGATCTTATGGATTTATGAATGAACCGCTCATTTTGAAATCTAGACATTTTTTGAAACTTCGCTTCAAACATTACAATGCTCATAATAACTTTCGGTAAATCTAAGATCTGACTAGCCATATCATATACTTTTTTTATTATTATTTTTTAAGAGTAGATAATTGTTCACAGAAACCTCTCACAAACATAACATTTCTCAGTGGGACATTTTATTTTACAAATCATACAAAAATGAGTGACAACATGTATAAAAAACAAATATAAGAACAGACATAGAACTTTTTTTTTTTTTTTTACAAATTCTGTCAAAAAACCTTTAAATGTATTACAAAAATGTACAGCAGCATCTTAAATATAAGATAGATCAATGTTTTCTCAAAACATTCATGAACAATTGTAAAAAAAAAAAAAGAAAAAAAAAAGAATTAAAAATATATATTTACAGCGCTAAGCACAGACTGACCAAGAGTGATAGAAGTGTTTCCATGTGTCAAGATGCCGTCTATGTTTTTGTTTAAGCCATTTTATACATCCACAGTTCTTTGCATTAAAGCAAAACAAATATAGAAGATTAAGTGAGCTGGCTGCAAAAATGTTTCTGTTTGGGAAAGTCAATTACAGTAAAGAGTACAAATAAATTGCGAGGAGAGTTTGATTGAGAGTTTTTCTTAACTCAATGTTGGCACTTAATTTTTGCTTTAAATCATAATGACAGGCTTTCAAATGAATTCAGTTCCTAGATGAATGGTGCTCAAATATACACATGGTAAACAAACACAGTAACATTATATTCATATACATGTACACCTGTATATGTAAAATACAACATTATATATTACAGTTGCTTGAAATATACGTTTCCTTGGATGCAGTATCTGATTGTCAAAGCAGACTTTATGCTATACTGTTATTTTGGTTCGGCTGAATGGAGAATGTAACACAACCCTTTGAAAGTAGTTATATTTCTAGAGTGTCCATTGTCCACAATGGATATCCATTTCATTTATAAAACCTGTATAAAAACAATCATACATTTCAGTAAAACTGTAATTTATGAAAGGTCGTCTTTTAGTCTAGACAGTGAACGTGAAGGAAAGACAGTGATACAAAAACTATATTCCACATACTATACATATTTCAAGTTTGGAAAACCTTCAGAAGGAGCTGAACGCACCTTTACAGCGTAATGACAATAATGAATATACATCAAAGCTGGTCAATGATATTTAAGTCTGGATCCTTTGCTTTCTCAGGATTTGTTAGGTTTTTACTCAAAACCAATTCATCTTCTTCCTTGGGATGCTCTGGAAATATAAATACAGGGATTATAGTTAGTGTCCTACATAAGAACCAAATAAAACTCTGGCTTTAAATTGAATTTAACATGGGAATAAGTGAGGCATTTTATAAAAATTTGCTAGCATAATCCTGTTCTTGAGGCCAAATTGTAATATAGCACTTTTCAGAATTTTGTACTGTCAAACTATGTACTGTAAGTCAAACATCAGTTCTGTGGACATTTGTCCCTACAAAGGGAAATATATTTATAAAAAAAATATCCCTAGCTAAAACAAGTTAAACAGTACGGATTGGTCAAAGGGAGGTAACGGACCAAGGTAAGGTTTTCAGAGCAATGCGGAGCTGGAGTCAGAGTCTGGGTCAGGGGGGTTGCAGGGGTCTCGGGAGTAGGATTCCTGGGCTCTGCGGTACTCCTGGAACTCCTGTCGCAGGGCATTGAAGCGAGCCTCACTGAGGGAACGACCATACCGGTGCTGAGGAGGCTGGGACACTAAGGGAGGGCTGATGGTGTACAGGCCTGAGAGGAGAGGAAAGGAGGTGGAGGAGGAGGTGTAGGACGGATAAAGTTCAGGGGAAACTTAATTTGCAATTATATTTGGTGTGGGAAATAAACAGACAAGCTCAAGTGTTCTTACGTTTACTCGGGAAGTCCTGGAGGCCAGCGGTGGAGCGGGGGCGTTCTTGCCTAAATTCCCTGCCTCGCCCAAAGCCTGCATGGGGCCGCTCCATCTTCATGGCCTCCAGGATGTCGAGATCCACAGAGTGTTCTGCAGCATCCCATTCATAACTCTCATCTACTGAGGTATTTCTTCTACACACACATATGCAACAATACATAGTGAGATTTTACACATTTATATCACTGTCATTTTGTACAAAAGCAAAATAAGACATTGGGAACTATTCTAGTTTGTCTGTGCTGAGGTCTTGCCTCATGTATATGTGTATCAGCTTCACCTTTTGGACCTCCGTTCTCTCAGGTCTTTATCTGTCCTGAGCCTCTCGCTCTCTTCGGTGGTCTCTGGCGAGCTGAGTAAGGTTGGAGTGATAGAGAGAGACTGGCGTAGGTGTCCATACGGTCCCACACTACCCCTTCCACTGCTCTGGCTGGCGTAACTGGCTCTGCCCCCATCACCTCTTATATCCCGGCCTTCTGTCTCTGTACAGCCCCTAACTGCACCCATCCCTTTGTCCACCTCTCTCGGAATGTCTTGCTCTCGAAGGGGGAAGGATGTATGATATGGTGAGGGCCAGCTGTAACCTCTGGGGAGGAAAGGCCTTGGTGGATACCTTCTGTGTTCTGCAGTTTGCAGGTAGTCCACCTTGGCCACTGATCTGGGTGGAACAAAAGGTCGAGGAGGTTCTTGTGGGACATACTTATGCTGAACTGACCTAAGTGTTTCCTGATAAGTCAGCGGCCACCTAGAGAAATCTTGAAAGACTGCTGCCTGTCGACGTGGATCTGACTCTCGCCTGGAAGGAAGGGATGATTCCATGTGTTGTGGTGGATCTGGGACTGAGGGAACAGGTGTGTGGTAGGGAGGTGTCATGTCAGATCGCTCAATATGCTTACGTCTCTCTAAACTGTAGCTGGTGGGAGGTTGAAAGGGCACTGACCCTCGCCATGATGGGCCAGACATGGGATAGTAGCGTGTAGGGTTACGACCCAGACTGTAAGATTTGAGCCTTATATCTGGGTGGGGAAATTTATCCCTGTAACAAGTTTCAGATATATAAGCTCTTGGATTTTCAAAATGTTCCCATCTAGAACCTAAACTAATGGACTTCTTAAGGAATTGACTTGGTTGCCCGACTCCAGAGAGGGTCCTACAGGGACCAGTGCTGACTGATTTCTTCATGAAAGGCATTGGACCTGGATAGATCCGTGAGGATATCATGTTTGTCCGGTCACCCTGAGCCTGATATCTTTGATATTGTTCAGATATAGAGTTTGGACATTTGGAAACAATTGCTGCCATGCTTTTAGCCGTGTTAATTAATGTCTGTGCTTGACCATGCTGTGTAACTTCTTGTTTTTGAGGCCCTAAACTCTGAGAAACCAAAGGCTCAGAACTCTTTTCCTTTTCTTTAGATGGTGAGAAACCTTTCTTGATTGTGTTTGAGATGCCTGATTTAACACATGTATCTTGTGCCTCTAATTGTGAACAAGGTTCAGAAATTGGAATACTTCCAGGTTTATGGTGTCCCACTGGTACGTTCAGGGTTCTGTGGTCATGAACAGCCCCGTTGTGATGACTAATATTGGTCCCAGAGTGCTCCTGACCATCTTTTTCCCAAATTGTGGGTACAACGTCGGGCTCATCTCTTAACAGTGCCCTAGTTTCTGGCTCAACACTGGTTTCAACAGATTCCGAAGGCTCAGTCACTTCTACAGGATCATCTACACTCATTTCAATGAAACCCGGAAGACTCAGGTATTCCAGGATAGTGCTGGTCTGCAGTGGGGACATCCGGTCTGGTTGGGGAGCAAGCTTAGCTTTCATTGATTCTGACATTCTTGATACATTTGACTGATCACTTCCTGCCTCATTTTCCAACAGGGTCAGGTGTGATATTCGACTAGGGCTTTCACTGAAGACACATTTGTCACTCTTTCGGGATCGAGCCCTGATACCCTCTTTCTCTTGCTCATTGTAAGGCAATATGGAGCTGGAATCACCACTCACTATTACTTTTCCTTTTGCTCCTGCTTTCTGATGATCATAGGGCAATGTAGAGCAACCTGATGGATTATGACTCAGTTTGTCTTTTTTAACGGGCCTTACTTCCTCTGTGACGCTTTGAATCATGGGATAAAGGAAATGTTGGTTAGGACTATTATCTCTATCTCTTCCGCCCACCATTTGGTGCAGCTCAGATGGTTGAGGATTCAAGCGAGCAGGGGATGTTGATCTAAATGCTGGAGCCTCTTTTTCCATTTTTCTTTCTTGCAACCAACTATCCTGAACTAAAGTCCTGTTGGGCAGCTCCTGCTCCTCTTCCAGGTGACTTTCCGGGTGTCTAGCTTGTGCCCCACTCAGGTTGGTTTTACTGGGAGAGGGTATGTCCCTGGTAGGAGAGAAACGTGAGAGAGAGGTATATTGTGTGGCTGGTGAACGAGAGATGTCTGTTGCCAATGAATCTTCTAGATCGGCAATGCCTTGTTGACGTGTGTGAGGGTAGAGTGAATGAGGTGTGTTCCCTTCAGAAAGGCTCTGCACTGGCACCAGGCTGGTAGGGGATATCACAGGGCTTATGTCCCACTGGATGTGTGAGGAAGACAAAGAGGGAAGTCTCTCCATGGGACTACTGGTGTTGCCAAAATAACAGCCCCTCCTATAGTCCGATACAAGCTGGGCCATGCTGCTGGGTCTGTTTTTTTGTCGTAAATGTATATCTTGGGGCTTCCAAATAGGGTCTTCAAACTCAACACCTGTCCATTTTCTTAAGGGACTTGCAGACTTGGCCCGCCTCTGTTCTTGCTCATGTGACTGTACCCTTCGGCTGGCCGTATAGTGTTCTAGCTCCCTCTCCATTTGCTCACGTTCCTTCGCCAGCTTTAAACATTTGCTTAATTTGTCCCTCTCTCTTTCACCATCCAGTTGAGTTACCATAGTGCTGTCTTCTGTCAGCTGGCTGTCTCCATTGATTGGCTGGTATTGTGCCTGGTGGAGCAGCCTCTCTCTCTCCAAAGCTCGGGCTCTCCTGGTTAAGCTGGGAAATATGTCCTCCCTATGACTGGCACTCCGGCATTTTTTTTGTGAGTCACTCACCCTCTTTTCACTGCAGTCTGAATAAAAACTGGCCTTCTCCAACAAGGCCTCAGAGCAGCCCTGCTCATCATCAGAGTAGAAACAGCCATGACGGGAAAAGTTTCTGGCCATTGCCTTCACCTTGCCAGGGGAGTGATGGGGTCTCTCTGGGTCTGAAGGGCCCACTGTCAATGCTGACAGATTCTCTCTCTGTCCATCCCTCTCTGAACTTACAGGATTTGATTTGTTGGACTCTTTAAAAGTTCCATTGTTACTCCCTCTACCAGGTGATTGTGGGAACTCTTTTTTAAGGTTCTTTTTGATGTGGGTTGGTATGGAGTTTTCTAGGTCAGGTTGGATAACGAAGCGGCCATCAGGACTTCTGGCTATGGACTCAATAGCAGATGTGGATGAGGGAGATCCACCAAAGTGGCTCTCACATAGGGTGTAGCGCGGAGGTGGAGAGGATGAGGACAAGAGCTGCTTTCTCTGATCCTGGTACTCACTGCGGCTGCCTTTATCAAAGGAGGAACGGTCTGAGCGATCAGAAGAGGATGAGTTGGGGAAGAAGTTTAAAGGAGGGCACAGTTTTAACTTCAGCACACTGTCGGGACTGTCAGAAGGCGAGTGAGCTCTGAGGAGAAAGAAGACAAGTGAACATTTAGGGAACGAATAGAGAGACGTTTGAGACAAATGTATCATCCCCCATTGTAGTACAGTGACAAAGATGGAGAAGCATAGGAATGATACATGCATAGCAAGGAAGGACACTTACTGTGGAGATGAACTCTTCTGGAAGGCAGAGGGGATATCTGAAATGGTGGGGAGGGTGCAAAGTTCATATCATGCCACAGATAATGAGTCATAAGATGACAAAGTGCCAACAACAAAAGCAGCCTCAACAGAAACACAGATGCCATGCATGACAATACCACTGATGGCTGAGAACAAATACATCACTTCAAATGTGTCAAGTATCAGTCTTTGAGGCATTAAATGTCTATATGGTCATTGCGATTGATAATGCATCAAAGGCCTTAAGGAATTGACTTAAGTCTTTTGAGTAATGTTTTAACTCTTCATTAAGTACACAATCCATGTACAGTATCTGAATGTTGCAGCCCTAAATGACTTTAAGAGCATGCAAAAAGATTTAAAATGTTTTTTATAGTGGTGTACTTTGTTCAACAACAATTTCATATTCAAAATCAGCAATCTTCATCACTGCTTTTACCATCTCTCTTTTTCCTTCGCCGTTGTCCCCTTCTATTGTTCATAACACAGGCTGTCACCAGAGAAAGGATGATGGCAGCAAACAGGAAACACACACCCCCAATCACACCAGCCAGCAGGGGCTCAGGAACAAAGGCCAGGAGACTGGGTGCTGCCGGATACATCTCCATACCTTAGGGCCACACATTACATGTTACCTTATAATAATATAATAAATCAATTAATAATTAAACATAATTAATTTATACCAATATTACATTTCTGACTTCTTGAACCTTCTATTTATTAGGGTTTAAACGGATCGTAGTTGATCCGTACAGACCAGGCCCCACGGTTCAGCAAGCATGTGATTCGCAGATTTATTGCAAGTTTAACAACATAGAGTGAAAGTTTATCATTTGTATGTTTTTTGTCTTACCAGTTTACACATTCAATAGATTTTTAACCATTCCAGCACTAAAAGAGGAGAAAAAGAATTGAATTCGGTACTCGCTTGATATCTTTGGATTGATTCCTCTTTCGCCTCTCCTTGCACTTGGATGGACACACACAAAACTATGTCAAAATATCTTTCTAGGCAAGTTCTTTCGTAAACACAGTCGTTGTCTTAAAGGTACAATATGTAGGATTTTTCGCCACCAGGGGTCGCTAATCTCTTACAATAACAAAGGCGTATATCGATGACGGTAAAGCATTAAGCGGAATTATGGATATTGTCGTCAAGTTGATGGATCTTTTATGGATGAGTGAATACATTGATGTTTTTAACATGACTGTGGTATGAAGCAGGGCGCGATTGCTAATGAGACATAACGTTATAACGTTACCAGCGTCACACGCAACGCGAGTCCCGCATATATAAAGAAATAAGGACATTTCATTCTACCGAGGTAATGCAGCGCTGTTTCACTTGCTCTAACAGTTACACTATCGCACTAAACGCATTTGAGTGTGTTGAATGTTGTTAGTTAGGTTGTTTGTTGGCTGTATGAGACGCAGTAAGCTAGATCAACATTAGAATAACATACAGATCATATTCTAACATTTCATCATGTTGAACTAAATAACATTGATTACTTTTATGTACATTTGCTCACCTGTCTAATTAAGTATGCAACACTCGCGTCTGTCGTCATGGTTACTATGGCAGTACGAGCGGAAACCAATGGCGGAAACCGAGGGTAACGCGGACATGACGCAATTGACTGGCGACTCCTCACCCCTGCTCACACGCACCGTTTCCTTGGTTAAAATCGCAATTTTCCTTACGATTTACAAATAGTTTGAAACATTTGGGATATTGTAAGTAATCAACTAAACAAAATATATAACATTGGCCTAGTGGTTTTTGGATCTTTTACTGCAAAAATCCTACATACTGTACCTTTAGGTGAACGTAAAGAGTTGAGAAAGAAATTGGATGTGTATCATTATATTGGATCCGTGCATTAGGTCTGAAAGTGACAGCAGCCAATAAACACCTGCTGTTGTCAATGTCATTAATGTTATTCAAACAACAAGCTTTAACAAAGATTAAGCTATATTCAATTTATACAGTGAACACTATAGTGTTATTTTACATTTAATTATTAAATTTCTGTACCTGAAATGAATACTACAGTTAGACCTTACTTTATTTGTTGCTTTGTTATATTGTATTTATCTACATGCTTGTAATTAGTATATATATATATATTACTGACTGTTGTATTTAATAATGTTTGAACTTTATTAGTTAGGTAAGTTGCTGTGGTATCGGAGTACTTAAAGTATGCTTTAAGTAGTAAGTGGAAAGCAAAGTTACCCCACCCCCCAATATATATATATATATATATATATATAGTTTAAAAAAATTCTTGCTGATGCAAAAAATTGTCCAAAAACTTAAGATCTGAACCTTGAGTTTTGTGAACTGTTGAACCACTACTATTTATCATATTAAATTATATTAATATTCAATTATATTTAGTAAGTCTGTAGTTTTTCCAAGCCTCATAAGAAAAAAAAAAACTCTTTCAAAAATCCAGATATCAATTTTAAGTCAAGATATCGAGTTCTGATTTAGCCTCACCTTCAGTAGAGATGACAACCGAGTCACTGGGCCCACTAACCAGTCTGTCTCTGCGAGACAGAAGACGCAGCTCATAGTTGGAGTCCTGTGGAAATAAATGAAGAGAAAATGAACACGAATGGCATAGAATAGGGACACTCAACACCAAGCTGCCATTTTCCCAATATTTCAAACGTTTTACCTTAACAAGTCCCTGTACAATCAATTCGGTCACGTTGACAGCAATCTCTCTGTCTATAGTGACCCACTCCCCCTTTCCCCGCTTTGCTAGAAGTACAAATGAAGTTAATGGTGGAGACTCTTCTAGAGGTGGCACCCATTGCAGCAAAATACCCAGTGATGTACGATTGGCTGACAGCAAGGTGGGAGGGAGCAACACCTCAATGGTGGTTACCACATTGGGAGCGTCTGTTGGAGGTGCTGCAATGAAAAAAACATAAAAGGGTTTACCTTAGTATGCTACATCATAAATCTTGGACCATAGGTTTGGAATAACTTTATAGTCCACCAGGGAATGCTTTGAATCAAATAAAGGAATACAGATTTGTTAAAGAAACTATAGACAGTCTATGTATAAGATCCATGTCTGTATGTGTACAGCTAATTGGTGACCTCATAAAGTGCATGATTTGTATGTATATAAAAAAAATTGTGCTCACCCAGAGTCGTAATGGTGACAATCTCACTGAAGGGGCCAGAGCCCAACTTGTTTTGGGCAAGAACACTGAACTGGTAACTAGTGACAGCTTGCAGACCCGTCACCAGCAGGGAAGTTTTCGATGTTGGCACAGGGATTGATGCCCATTCATGTTTTCCTCTCACAGTGGGCTTTATCCTGATAAAGAGAGATATATGATATGATAGTCACAATAAAAAAATTCCGTGGTCGATTGAAATGCTACTAAAATTCAATGATTCTCAAAATCATTTCAATGATACAGCAAGACAATGCTACTGAACACGATTCTTCATTTTGAAAGCTAAAAAATAACATATAAACAAATGAATATGTGTTTTAAACTTTCAAGTATTAAGTTCAGTGTATTTAAATTAACAAAATACAAAAAAAAACAAGAATTTGTCTTGGTGTCAGAAGACGACAACAACAGTACGTAAAACACACACATCTAGTGCTGCTGATGCACTCAGTTTGAGGTTACTTACCAAACAGTAAATCTCTGAGTGTATCCTCCATCAAATCCTGGCTCCCAGGACACATTGGCCTGACTAATCCCTGGATCCACAGACACGGAGGTAACAGCATGGGGACTTGTGCCTGAAGCAAACAGAACAGATAATATATTTGAGTTCTGTCGTATTTACCTATTTTCTATAGGTAAATACGGGTTATTTTTATTAACAGGCATCTATTCCCGTTCCTCTCACCTAGCACTAAAATCGTGGTTGCCACACTGACAGTGGCCACACGGTTGGTGGCAAGACACTCCCACGCCCCCTGGTGGTCCTTACTGAGTGGACGCAGGACCAGAGAGCCATTGGATAGGACTATAAACGGAGAGCGAGGAGCAGGACCAACCTAAAGCAGATGAGAAAGAAACTGAAGCATGTTTATACCATTTGAGGCTTTAAATCCATGTCTGCTAGTATATGTTTGATTTTTTTTTTTAGGAGATTAGCCTTTAAATACACACATTTAAATAACACACATATAAATATTTGCAATGGCAAGTGGTAAATCATGGTCATCTGAAGGTTATTGGGATTAAAAAACAACTTACTTTAATCCATGTGATATTAGGGGCGGGGTCTCCCTCGGGTTGACAGGGTATCACCAGCTCCCTACCTACTTCTTGTAGGTACTCGGCACGGGGCGAGACACGGAATGAAGGGGGGTCCTATGGAGGATTGCAAATAGATTCTCAGCAACTCATGTGTCAGGTCAGTCATTAATAATGAATTTCACTATGTGGTGACTTGTCAAATTATTTTCCATTCTAGAGATATGGTGTTCACCTTCAGGATAACTTTGGTAGGTTCTGATTGGCCCATGGTCCCGTAACTGTTATAGGCTGTACAGGTGTACATGCCCACTGCATCATCATTTGCTGCAGTTATGAACACTGAGCCCTCTGAGTTGAACATCCATCCTGGATACTGACCAATCAAGATGAAGAGTATAAAATGATGTAATTTGGGTCGCAATTGAATAAGATGCTTGATGATATACACAGTACCTGCTCCAGGTCCAAGGACGCTCCGTCTTTGGTCCAATTAACATACAGCATGGGGGGCTCGGCTTGAACTGGGCATTTGATCTTTCCCCCCATTCCCACGGGAAGATAAGTCTCACGGGGCATCCGAACCACTCGTGCAGGGTCTTTAAGAAAATCAGCCTTTTAATTATGTCATTTATACTTAAAGGGACCTATTATGCATTGTTTTAGGCATCTACAAGAATAGGTTTTCATGCTTGAATGTTTAAAAAACACATTATTTTTCACATATTTTACATTGTTGCAGCTCCTCTGTTCTCAGTCTGTCAGTAACACTCTGTTTAGTTCCTGTCTAAATGAAGTCCCTCCTTCTGAAAAGTGCAATGTGCTCTGATTGGTCAGCTGGATCAGTGTGTTGTGATTGGTGTAGCGCTTCAAATGTGTTTGGAAAATTCTACTAAATAGTATTTAGGCCCCTCGCCTTTATTTTGCGTATGCTTTGGGCGGGAATTATTTAAATGAGGAATACTGTGACATGTTCGCTCCCGGAAAAAAACGCAAGGCTATACAACTGAGCCGTTTCAGAATAAGAATATATATATAGAGGAAAACTCCCTTTGGAGGGACTTTGTGCTTTGTAACTTTGAAGCTGTTTTTCATGGTCAAACAGCAGCATTACATGCTAAAGAAAGTTGAACATGTAAAAGCATAATAGGACCCCTTTAATAACCCCTTTAATTTAAATTAGTGCTGTCAAACGATAGAAATATTTAATCGCGATTAATCGCATTAATGTCATAGTTAACCCGCGATTAATCGCACATTTTTATCTATTCTAAATGTCTCTTGATTTCTTTTTGCCCCATTATTTTTTCTCATTTTAATGCTCTTATCAACATGGAAAAGTGGATCGGCTTGCTTTGTGCAAATGTTTTTTATTGAAAACAACATTGGCATATACAGTGTTCAATTTCACACTAACATTCTCATAAATCAATAAAAGGGTGAAAGAAATACTGACGAGGTCCTGATATTGACGAGGGGGCGGAGAATTCGCATCAGCTGTGTGTGTGTGTGTGTGTGTGCTTGGCCATCAAGTGGTGTTTCAGACTGGACGTGCTGCGATGATGATAGCTCAGTTCACAACGACAAAACACACAGATCACTTTGGTCTCGTCAATGGAACCATTTGGCAACTTTTTAAAAGTAAACTTTCAATTCAGAATCTTATTGGCATCCGTTTCGGCGTCTCGCGCTCGTCATCCACTCAAAACGTAACGTTTACCAACTATTTGGTCGGCTCGCAAGCCCAAACAAGTGTGTGCGGCGTGCCTGTTGTTTTGTTTCCGGCCTAGCTAGATCCGGTCGACAAAGCAACAAAACGTCCTCGCGCGACGCAAGCCATTGAAATTAATGGGTTTCATCGCACCTCGAATGCCGCGTCCTGTTGCAAAAGCATGTGAAAAAAACTACAACGTTTGCTAGGCCAAAAAGAACGTTAATAACGGTTTGCGTTAACGCCGTTAATAACGCGTTTAACTGACAGCCCTAATTTAAATCTTTAATCTTCTGTTGCTCTCTTTATCTGGTATACATGAAGATGAGATTTTAACATTGCAAAGCACTCACGTTTAACTTTGAGGTAGGCAGACGCAGAGGGCGGAGTCATTAGACCATTGGTGGGTGTGCAGGTGTAATTCCCAGAATCCTCAGGTATAAGACCTGAAATGAGGAGTGTCCCGTCCACTAGGATTTTTACCCGTGATTTCAGAACTCTGTAAACACAAACACGCATCAGCAAACAGAAAACAAAAGACACACAGACAACACTAGTAAAGATTTATAGTGGTCCATAACTGAACTATACAGTTCAATGACAACAAATGCTATTAGTATTATTTCTAATAAATGGAATTAACCCAAATAATTAGAGGCTACTAAACAATATTTCATTTTCAGCTTGGATTGTAATTATGTGAAAATAACGCATCATTATACAATAATATTTGATGGCAGAATGCTGTGATTGTCCATCAGAATTCCAGTGTAATAATGTTATCTAAGCTCTTGTAATCGTAGGTCACTTACTCAATGTGAAACACGTTTTGGTCTTGTTTCCACCACTCGTATGTGAGGTTAGAAGGATACGCTTCTGCTTGGCACTGCAGAATTGCATCCTGGGACATATTCATAGTGGTGTCCTCAGGGGGAATGATGATAATTGGAGGACCTGGTTGAAAGCAAAAGAATGCATAAAAGCATGCATGTGAGACTGAATGCATAAAACGTAATCAGCTTTGATGGGCATCTGGATTTGAGGAGGTTGTTTGTTCAGGGGTGAGATTTAGGCGTAAGTGCCAAATGCATTGTGTTAAAGCACTACCACCAAAAGAGGGCAGTGTTTGTTCGTTTCATTACACTACACTTTGCCAGAAAAGTCACTCTAAATTCTTATGCTGTGAAAAAAATGAATGCGAGATACTGTCAAGGTTTTCAACTACATACTATAGCATTCTGTTGTCCAATGGCAATGCTAGCATTCGCTTTGCAGTTGTGCGATCAACAAAAAACTATATTTTTTATCATCATGCAATTAAGGAACTTTCATTTATGCATTTTATTTGCTTAATGTTTATCATCTTTCATGGTGCACACATCACACACACATTTAGAGCTAAAAATCTTTCAAATCTGATTTAAACAGGCCATTGCAAAGTAGAAAGTTCATATTTTCTGAGCTAAATGGAAGCCGCAACAGTTCCTAATGTGAACCAAGCCAGTTGCAAACCATATGAAGCTGAGATTAAGGTTATTGACTTTGCACACAAATCCAACTGCAGCAAAGACTCCAATGTTCTCATACCAAATGCTGCTTAAGGTAAACACTTAATGCCCTGCAAGCCTATTTACATGCTGCTGGCTTTCTTCCCCCACGTGGACAAGACGTGGTGTGTAACTGACCTTTGACCTGCAGCTGGGTGGTGTAGGTAAGGTTCCCTTCTGAATTGGATACGTGACACTTGTATATTCCTGCCGTTTCCCTGGAAACCTTGGCTAAAGACAAGGTTTCATTGAGTACCTGTTGAGGGAAATTAATGTTTAGGTGGTAAACGAGACTAGTGTCAAAGGGGAAAATGTGACCAGCCCAAAGTGAACTCTACACTCAAGTTGACATGAAACATGATTCACAAGTCACCGTGCTTCTGTAATCACAATGTATATCTGATATTCAATCAGGGTAAAAATGTAGAGATGTAGATTTGAATTGCACAATGAAAAGTTATTTGTATATCAGAATGGAGCTAAGAAGTTGGAGGGGAGGGATTCATGAATAAGACTAAAACATGTATTATTAAGAAAAGCAAACAGGGTTGATTTGGAATTCTTGTTGAATTTAAAGTATCTTTATGAACCGTCAGTCAACTAACAATCAACTGAAAAGCTGTGTACCTGAAAAGCTTCTTGTTTCTCAGCGGCACTGCCATCCTTTCTCCAGATGATGATGGGTTTCGGGTTTCCATGAGCATCACACTGGAGGGTGAGAGATTCACCCAACATGACCTCCAGGAAGGCAGGAGGAGTCTTTATGAACACTGGAGGAGCTGCAGCAGACATAACCATCAAAACCATTTTCATAGAGAAAATAAACACATAAAATAAAATAAAATAAATATACAAATAAATTAAATAATAATAAATAAATCTCTCGCGCGTGTACGTCACTCATTGTTTTACACAGAACAGAGATTGTAGGTAAGACGGCTAATTAAAATGGTAATAATTTGCGCTTATCTGGGATGTTTAAACCGTCGTAAAAGAAAACAATTACGTATGCTCGCGCGAACTCATCCGGGAGTGGTGAGTTTTCACAAATTCCCAATTTATGAGCCTTCTCTCTTGAAGTTATGGCTGCGGCTCATATAACTTCCGGCGCTTGCGCAGACCGAAGCGCCGGCGCCCTCAGATCACTTGGACGTGGCTGTGTTTACAAGAGGTAAAAACGATATAAATACTGTTCGTTTTCTCACACAAACCGCTCGTTTCGTGTCTTAGGCCATCAATGTGTACTTACATTTACGAGTCATTAAATCATGTTTAATTTGGACTTCTCTGTGCATGCTCTTTGAGGTGGTGACCATAGACCTGCATTATATGACTGACAGACAAGAACGGTTTGACCTAAAAATATCAAAATTGAAACTACTGCGGAAACAAAGACACCAACATCTTAGGATGCCCTTGAGGTAAGCTAAAACATACCAAAAATGTATTTCAAAGTGAACTATCCCTTTAAATTATGTCCATATTTATTTAAATACAAAAATAATTAATTATTTAATTAATTATTTAATTAAAGATGTACTTTTAATATTGGCTTAATCAGGCAGACGATTGTAATATCAGAACTAATTAGACTGATACGTTAATAAAAAAGATTATTTTCTGATACTTATAAGGTCACCGATGTATACTGCAGCACTTAAGGGGATAGTTGACCCAAAAATGAACATTCTGTCATTATTAATTATCCTCATGTCGTTCCAAATCCATAAGACTTTTGTTCATCTTCGAAACACAGATTAAGATATTTTTAATTAAATATGAGAGCTTTCTGTTCCACCATTGACAGCAACGCAACAACCACTTTGACGCTTTAAAAAGTTCATAAAGAGATCGTAAAACTAATCCATATGAATTGAGCGGTTTAGTCTAAATTTTCTGAAGAGACACAATTGCTTTATATGATGAACAGAGTGAATTTAGGCTTTCATTTTTGGGTGAACTATCCCTTTAAGGACCTAAAATCATTGCTTTACACTTGCTCACAGTAGAGTAGTCTTTAACTTTCTCAAAGCGTAACACATGCAATTATGTAATAATGGACATTTGCAAGTGAGGCAAAACCTCTAAACGCATCGAACTTCCCCATATCCCTGTCAACACAAAGACATGTTTTCCAGCACACTCACACAATGACAGCTTTTAAAACCGCTGTAAGCTGACACTGTGCATATAATGGGCGTGAAACAGGCCACACTGGAGAGACTCGGACTGTGAGCGTGAGTTTCTGTCCTCTGTCTTCATTCTGATCGCTCGTACATGCTACAGTAACACCATCAGATACTAAAAGCCAGTCTGAGCCCTTCACAGGATTCACACATCAGTGCTGAAGGAGTGTGTGTGTGTGTGTGTCAGAAGAAGAGAGTTTTCAGAAGGCATGATAGACATCCTGAAGGTGTGAGACAAAGTTCAATGTGAAAAGATTGTAACCAACAGAAAGTGAAAAAGTCAAAGAGCTTGTGTAGGTTTTGATGAAAATGCATGAGTTCTGTTGATATAAGAGTGTCACGAAAAATGAGATCGGATTACACAATTCTCTCTTATTTACTGCAACAAAGCCTTTTATATGAGCTGCAGATGCTGCTTTAATCAGACGTTTAATCCTTTTCGTAAGAATACAAAAATGTCAGCTGCTTTATTGGCATGAACATGAAACATAAAGAGCACCATTATAAAATATACATGCTCTTAAACAAATGCATGTTCACTTTCTATGGAACACTTTCTAAAAAAGATTAATTTTTAGGATTGAGCAACACAGCTGACATGCAACACATAGTTTTGTGTCTGTTTCTCATTAGGGGTGGGCTGTATGTTCTTATCACATTCTTTTTCGCAGGACGGCTATATATTTAATAATCATCTGGAATTACCAATTTTGCATAATACAGTCAATTAAAATTACTTGATGGTCACAAACCAAAAATTCTGATTTGGAAAGAATTCATTTTCCATCAATTCATTTGAATCTTTATAAACGAATAGTTCTGACATGCAAAGCCATTACGCACGCTTGAATAGAAGAAACAACCTCAAAGCATTTCTTATCCCACCTGAGATGGAAAGGAAGTTCCATGTGCCGTTCTGAAACTCATCTGAGGTTCTGTCCAGCAGAAGAATTCGACATTCAAACCAGCCCTCATCCTCCAGCGTCAACTTATCCACCAGAAGAGACGCGCCACGGCTCAATGACACACGACCTGCCCCGCAAATCAAAGAGAGAAGCAATTATTCAGCAGTACTTCAGTGTGATTAAGAATGAGAGAACGCACACAAAACTGACGCTCAAACAGCCAGACAGCAACTCTGAGATCATGGGTTTGATTCCCAGTGAATGAAATGCAAGTTCTTTTTTCATTTGGCAAATGCATAAACGTAAATTCTCCACAACACACAGTACAGAAGCAGACGAGTTGCATCAAAAAACCACATGCATACCTGAAACAACCAGTGCAAACCATTACATCCAAATGGGATTATTTTAGTCCTGTTACTTCACAAGCCAATGGGGAATTTAATATGTTAATACTAAATTTAATACAGACGAGTGTTTAGAATGGTAAGTTATTCTGATGTTTATTTACAACTTAGAATTTTTTTTTTTTTTTTTTTTTTTTTTTTTACAGTGCAGAGTTTTACAACATAAAAAAAGAACATTGTTATGGCCTCCTTTTACTGAATATTATCATACCTTGTGAAAATGTATGCCAAATCAAATTTTACATAAAAGCAACAGTAATATTCATGCTATATAAATTGATTAATGCAATGCACAACTTAACAAAATAATATAGGCCTGGTTTCACGAGATATATCCAGCTGCAGACCCGGCAGCACCACCAGTTTCAGAACCCCAGTGCCAGAACCCCAGCGCCAGAACCGGAAGTGAGGGAGGGGCGGAATTATTATTATTATTATTATATGACACAAGCATGGTTATTTTTGCAAGTATTTAAAAATATTTAAAATTGTTGCACCTTTTAAATAATATTTAGGGTATGTTTTTATTACACAGTGAGTCACTGCTCGTTGTATGAACTATAACTGGTGTGACAAATAAAGAGCAAGACAGCGCTCGTGTTGTTTGAAGACGTGAGAGTGCGCGCGCGCAACCAGGGCTCTCTCTCTCTCTGCTCGCGCCCTGTCAGGCGCACTGCAGCAGTCATTCTATTCTACATCACTCACCGATCAAAAAAGGCTTTGGCGGGACAAAAATTTGCTTTGGCGGCCGCCAAAAAGAGGACGATCTGATGGGTTTTAGAAGATTTAATACAACCTGAAACTAAAAAACAGACCCGACCTCTATTTGAGACCGGCCTTATATTTACCCAGACCTGCAGCCACACCAGGCGTGTAAAGAGACAATCGTCTATTTGGGACTCGGCTATTATTTGAAGTACGGTACATTTTTATGGTTTCTTTTAAAACAATGCTGGATTTTCTCTCTCTTTTAAGATTTTTGACATTATTTTACATAAAGAAAAATGCATGCTGCACATGTTCTTGTGAAATAAAGTATATTTTATATAAAATGACCATAAGTTTCAAGCATTATTTTTCACCATCATGATCAGGAAGTAACTCCCATAATACAATGAAACGGATAACTATATAGAATTATATTACACAAAATCAATGTTTTAAAATGCTTATTGTACTATACCTTAATGTATCATTATAATACGTATAAAGACGTTTCGTGTGTAATAATGCCGTTTCGTGTCTAAGCAAATTACGCTCCAAAACGTTAGGTGGCGTTACTCGGTTTAGAACGTAAGCTCCGCCCCTCACTTCCGGTCCTGGCGCTGGTGTTAGAACGTAAGCTCCGCCCCTTACTTCCGGTTCTGGCGCTGGGGTTCTGAAACTGGTGGTGCTGCGGGTCTGCAGCTGGATACTATTGGGTTTCACAGACAGGATTAAGCCTTAGTACAATTAGGACATTTAAGTCGCTTTTAACGTGCCTTAGAAAAAAACCCATCAATGGCAGTGTTGTGTACTCGAGACTCGGACTCGGTCTCGAGACCATATTTTAATGGTCTCGGTCTTGTCATGGACTCGTGTGCATTTTGACTCGGAATTGACTCGTACTCGAACATATTAGGACTCGGACTTATTCCCGAGTCCACTCGAGACCCATTCAAAATATGTCATGATTATTACTGTTAATATTTCTTTAAATTGTTGTTTGATTGAAACGTCCAATGATTGCTGACTTTCTTGTGCGCAACTGCGCATGACTTGAGACTAATGGTGTGTTCACACCGAACGCGAATTTAATTATTTGCGCGAGTAGATTACATACAAAGTCAATGCAAAGACGCGAATAGACGCATCATTCGCGGCGGGCGTTGCGAATGACGCGAATTGGGCGACGCGTTTGCCGCGAATGTCTTCCGCGCAAGTTGAAAAATGTGAACTCGAGCGAATGTTCAAGCGTCTAACTAGACGCGATAGACGCGTATTTGACGCTCTATTCGCGTTCGGTGTGAACACACCATAATGGTGTGTTCACACCGAACGCGAATTTAATTATTTGCGCGAGTAGATTACATACAAAGTCAATGCAAAGACGCGAATAGGCGGATCATTCGCGCCTGGCGTTGCGAATGACGCGAATTGGGAGACGCGTTTGCCGCGAATGTCTTCCGCTTAAGTTGAAAAATTTCTGGGTCTGGTTTCAGACCCAACCTTAGGTTATCCAACCTCTCTGGTCTCGGTCTCGACTCGGACTCGACCCTCTATGGTCTCGGTCTCGACTCGGACTCGAGTGAGCTGGTCTCGACTACAACACTGATCACTGGTGTGCATCTTGAGACAAAACAATGGCACTGACATGTTAAGATATATTAGTGCAAGTTGCTTTCAGTTAAAACAGCTCAAACTTGCATTATAGTCTGAAACTGATCTGTGAAACCGGGGGATAGACAAATAAAAAATGCTTCAGCTCACGGAGTAAAAACTAAAGCACCACCTGTTTTTGTTTATTGCACAGGCACGTGGAAACATGTGGAAAGAGCAGCTCAACTCCATGGAAATCTGAACATCTCTCCGCATGATGTAACATGGTCAGCTGTTTTCCTCATATCCACAGACTCAAAACAAAACCACACTAGCACGAGTTATTGAAATGTGATATGAAAGGAGCAGACACACAATCAAATCGCTTTCAAAGCAATAGAAACAGTTTTACTCTACTACTAGAACTCTTTGAAAGGTGATATGCGTGTCGTCTGGATATTCAAATCTGGTTTTTCAACCTCAACCTCCCCTTCTATTTTGATTGTGCCTTTCTTTTCCCAAATTCCAGTGTTGTAAATGATGACACACTGATAACGCAGTGGATGCCGGCTGTGAGTGTGTGTTTCCGCTTGGCTGGAAAGCAGCCGTTGGAGTTTGAAAGTAAGCCAAGTTCCTCAGTGATGGGATGCGCTCCCTGCGTAGAGTACGAAAATAATACATGACAATTTAATGCCGAAACGTTACAGCTGAGGAATCCTAATCCAAACACACCTGGAGTCTGACATACCGCTGAACCCTCCAGTGATGCGTGCAGGTGTGCCAGCGCTAGATTTGCACCTCCAGACTTCAGTCAAGCATCACAACCCCTAAATTCAAGTACTAAACTTCAGTGTGTAACTCTCCTCACACCAGCTGTGCTGATGACGTGAATATCCCTTAGACAAAGTAAAAATCTAGGCGATATCTGTTGCTCAGTCAACTGCAATCTACTCTTCACCCAATAGGAAACATCTAACTCTGACCGTGTGGGGCATGCAGCAGTAATTGAAAGTAAACTGCGGACTGAAGTTATATATGAAAGTGCAGAACTGAAGGCCTGTTCTAACAAGTCAGTGTGCCATTATAACATCTCTTTATCTTTTATCAAACGTGCTGCAATATTCTCTGCTTGACATGTCTATTCATCTATTAATACCTCAATTGTTTCCATACAATATTGGGATTAAATGGCCAAAGTCTGCAATCAAAAGCCAGAGATTTCAGAATGAACTCAACAAATGATCTGAGCTGCTATCCACATTTATCCTCTTTATTGTTGCTGTATAACAACTTCTGACCTAAAATAAAATATAAAAATAGACAAAAATGACAAATAAATGAATTTGTGGAAGAAACATCTGAGACAAATGTTGATATTTCAAGGAGAAAAAGCCTACCGTTCAAAGGTTTGGGGTTTATACGACTTTTTAAAAGTTTTTGAAAGAAGTTTCTTATTTGATCAAAAATACAGTACTATTGGAGGTAATATTATACTGTTTACTGTCTATTTTAAATTTTAAAATGTAACTTATTCCTGTGTTCAAAGCTGAATTTTCAGCATCATACTCCAGTCTTCAGTGTCACATGATCCTTCAGAAATCATTCTAATATGATGATTTGCTGCTCAAGAAACATTTATGATTATTATCAATGTTGAAAACAGTTGTGCTGCTTCATATTTCTTTGTGGAAACTAATGCATTTCTGTATTCTTTGATTAATAGTACAAAAGAACAGCATTTATTTGAAATAGAAAAGAATATTTTTTATTGTCACTTTTGTTCAATTTAATACATCCTTGCTGTATTAATTTCTTTAAAAAACCCTGTTGAACAGTAGTGTGACTGAGACTTCACTCCATTAAGTCCGAAAAAGAGCAACATCTGAGCAATAACAAAAGCAATGCTGACTTCTAAACACAGGGTCATTTCCTCAGCAGGTGACGGCTCCATTGAACAGGAACAGTATAACAATCAATCAAGCAAAATTCACCGCCTGAGGGGTTATTTTTTCAAACCCACCACACAGTATAAACAGCGAACTATGACTAACAATTAAGCCCAGTGTAACCTCAGAGCTGCTGCTGTGGGGAGTGTTTGAGATTTTGCATAGATAATAATTGACTGATCTCATCCTTCAGAAGCGCTCTTTTCACAGAGCAGCAGCCGGTGTGTGTGTTTACTGTCATTAAAAGGTTCCTCTGATCCAGGGTCAGAGGGGGAGGGTGGTTATTAAAGCAGGAGAAGGGGGTAAAGGAGGGTGTATCTATGACAGCAGGTGTGGTGGATGTTCCACAAATATATGTGACCATCTCTCTCTCTCTCAAAAAAAAAAAACAATCTTCCAGCAATGTCCAGTTCCTTTGGCTGAATATGGAAGTATGGGAAAAAACAAACACCAAATGGACTTGCATACATTCAATT